CAGTGTAGCCTGCGGGATCATTGCAGCACTGAAGCCCGACCACGTCAAGGTGGAAGCTTTAGGTCGGGTCGGTTACCAGTATTGGGCCATTTGTTGGTTCCCGGGCTAGATTTATTATCTTAGGCTGATTGTGTAAGTTCATTTGGTGGGTCTGCTTCACGGGGGTTCGCATCTTACTGAGTGTCAGCTCTTCCTCTGAGTCTGCCATAGTTATCTTTTTCGAAGAATGGTTCGTTACCGGAAGACTTCGAATCCTCTGACTGTTTTTGGTTCGTTTGACATTGCCCCAATTTCTTCGGGGTGAAAACCTTACCAATTTCGTGGATTCTCTGAGCAATTATTCTGTATGTCTCCTCCACTGAAGCCTTTTTTCGCTTCAAGGTGTTCGAAGAAAATACGCAGTTTCGTCAAATCTGCTCACATCAAGCTTCAAATAAACTCTTGAATTTCAGGGTTTCTGGCCCAGTAGCAGATGGAGTCGAAAGTCAACACGGTGGTTACTATTTCCTAGATGAACCCTAACTATCAGCTGAACGACGAAAAGTCTTCGTAGTAACCAGATCTGGTAGGGAATGTAGTGGTGCTCTGTGATAACTGAGCACCGAAGGATGAATTTTGTTTGCTACTACACAATATCGGCACTGTGCGAGTTGCTGCCTGAGTCGTATTCTACTTTAACCCCACTTCTGCAGTTGTTTTCTATTTGCAATAGACCTGTTTCAAGTTTCGCCACTGCCCTAGAGATTCACAACCATGATACCACAAACACTCATTGAATGCCTTGTTTATAGCTCGGACATCTGCGTACTTTCCATCTCATGTTATCCCCACTCTTTGGAAATGCGGATTTTCGGTTCCCTGAACGTCTTTCCTAACTTCAGGCTTGTGCCGTACCAACAGATACTTTTTTGTCTTCAGACATTAGCGAGGCAGCCTCCCAAGTCTCATTTTACAAGTGTGGTTAGGCCAGAAGTAACCCAGTACCACCAGGAGGTAAGCGTGCTGTCATGTTTTTCATATCCTTGATTATCTCGCTTCTTCACAGCATTTAAAAGCATGTTGTGCAATTGAAGTTTCGCTGAATCGACTTACTTTCGCTAAACTACGCCTGGACAGTACGGGCCCAAATCGTGTCTTACTGGAGGTGTGGGATAGCGTACCACTCAAGCTCCCTGGTGGGAAAGAATTCAGGCCACAGCTATGTGAAAGCGTGGTAAGTGAATTTTCTGGGTATAATTTTTATAACCAATAAGGATACAATAACTGTGTTAAGACAGCGGATCACGTCTAGCTAATTATTTTGGCTTGTTGGTAGCGTGATCTACCGGCCGCGTCTGTTTTACTTGCCCAAATAATCTATTTGTCTCGATCAGTGCACACGAAAAACCAATGACTACGTGACTGTCTTTGGAAGTGAACTCAACGTGGTTACAGATAATTTACTATGCTTAGTGATCACGAACCTTTGTTCTGGTTACGAGGCTGAAGCTAGTTTCCCTTGATAAGCGGTAATCACTGACTTGAGAGCTTCTGTGTTAGAGCTTTTGAGTCTTCCGATTGGTTGGCCAAAGTTCTAATCCTCATTTCCCCAAATATCTTTGACTATTGGGAGCCCCTGAGAGTCCGTGGACGGCAATCAACGGGGCTAACTGTAGTCAGTTGATCTCTAGTGCTTATTGCTTGCAGTGTTTGAGGCTTAATATTCTCAGTGAACAAATTGAATAGGTCAGTTTCCATTTGGAGCTACACTAATCTCTATACTGTGTTTACAGAGGTAATTGCTTGTGATTTGCTAGCCCACAGGAGGTCAACGCCTCATTGAATCTTATGCGGTCTTTCTAAAACAATGATTCAGCAGTGTTATGATCAGTCCCAATCAGTTTCCTCCCTCTTAAAGGGTCTCGTCTTCAGACTGCACGATCACCATTCTGCACCCCTCGAGAGCAGGGCGATATTCATGTAGTGGCTTTCATATTAATAGTGTTCAAAGCTGGTGCAACCTGCACTTTAAACAGAGAACATCAATTGTGTTGATAGCCAACAGACTGCACCACCGGTACACTCAAGGGAAGCTTTTACGACACCTTGGGAGCTTTGTTGCGGTGGGCTAAAAGCTCAGATATTGTTGTGGTTTCCGGGGACGTGAATGCGCAAACAAGTAGTAGTAGTAGTAGACTTAGCGCTGCCGAGGCTCAATTAGGTAGTCGTCTGCCACTGGAGTGGAGACGCGCATACACCTGATTACGCATGCTGCATTTATGTGTTGACCACTGACTGTTTCTCTGATGTACTAACTTCCGAAACGACCGAACCCGCTTAGTCACATAGTGCTTCCGCATATGAGTCGATATCCGTCATAGACAGACCATATCGCTGTTAGTTGTAGGTGACGATTTTTGGTTGTCGCCCGTTCTGGAACACTTATGTGGACTGGGTTGCGCGCTTGTTCTTTCGTGCACTTTTCAAGAGCGCGCATGGTGCGCATGCTTCGACTGGTCATTACGAAGTTCTCGGACTTTGATGTGAAGCGAATCTACCGAAACCACCTGAAGCCCTTTTCGGACAAGACATCTGATATTGACTCTTACTGGGAGGTCTGTCCATACTGACCTCAATAAGAACGCTTGAATAGTTTAATTGAACACTTTCTGAAACAGTTCAATTGGTCACCTGTAGTTGCTCAGCTGACCCCTAGCGCAAGCCTCAACAGTGAACTTGGAACCTACGATGGCTTCGAAAATAATGGAGCGCTTTTTTGTCCCTCGAGCACTACTGAGCTTCTGGTCCTGAGGAACTCTCACCGGTTCTGTTCAAAGATGGAGATGAAACCCTCATTTGGTGCTTGTTTAACCTATTTGCCTCCGTCTGGGTGTCTCCCACAAAGTGTGAAGTCATGCTGACGGACGTACGGTCTTTGAACATGTCTCTAAGAGTTCAAAGGGTCACATGAAGTGGTGGAAAGCCATATGTATCTAGGACGTTGCATTAGCTATGACTGTAGTATGACAGACAAAGTCAATCCACGAGCCTCAAGTATCATAATTGGTCTTGCCAATTTGTGCCACTTGTTGCATCAAAACGGCATATCACCTGGTCCCAAGGGGTGCGTTTATCAGACTGCAGTTGTTGTGTAGCTGCGAAATTTGGCCAATTTATGTGGAGACTAACAGACATCTTTAGGTCTTTGACCCAAGATGCTTCAGAGCTGTAGCTGGGGTCGACTGGAACCAGCGAATTCGGGGTGAATTGACCAAGAACTGGTTTCTTGGTGAAGCAGAGAGTAGTTCACCCAAAGAATGCATCCTAAACTGTAAGCCACATGTTGCTCATACGGAGTTTCCTTACGGAGTTGTCTTCTGTGGCTAATTCGGAGTGGTGGAAACCGAGGGGTGGACAGAATTTGGCATGACAGAAGGGAATGAAGAGTGTTACGAAAGGTTTGTGTTCCGTTGGTGCTGTTTCCTTTCACGTGATCTCCATACGCTTGGCTGGATAGACTGAATGATACTGCGGCTATCCGATGTCAGTGGCATTCATGTTGTCAGTTTTCATCCAGATTGTCTAACTGCCTTGGAGTTGTTCACGGTATGCTAGCCCTAGGTCCCCCTCCTTGCTCCGTTTTCCTTCTTTCTATCATAAGGCTATATTCGAATAACTAGACTTTGTACGGCAGTTACACACTAGTGTTCCCATTTGGTGTTATCGTCAACAGTATTACTAAACACCCAGAGTAATGGGGCTGTTTTTCTACTCCTCCACATCCAACTTATTCCCAGTAGATCTCGAGATGTTTCAAAGTTCAGTCATATTTACTAGGCTATCGAGTCCCAAGTGTACAAAGGGATCACATTTCGTTTCAAATAAGCTGATGAGCCCAGTTGTTCCAAGATTTCAGTGTTATCGTGACGGACACGTGCCGCATGCTGTAGCGTCTTATCTACTATAAGTAATCCTGACACGGATTGTGGGATGAATGAAATCACACGGTTATGTCTGAGTAGGGAGCAGAGCCCCACGTTGTCAGTATGATGTTGGTGACTGGATGAATGATTTCTCAACCAGGATGAACATTGCAACGCAATTACCGTGCCACCAACAAGATAAGTAGGTAAGTTCCAGCGATGATCGGTGTTGTCTGTTTGGGCAGAACACATAGCATCTGACTTTGGAACATTGAGTTCATGAACTGCTCTCTCCTAACACCTTTCCGATAAAAATACAGCCGCAGATTCCGAATGAAATGTTTCATACGGTTGTGTGAGTCCCGTTTGTAGTGGCTTCATCGATGACTCCACAATGATCGCTTCTCGTATATCCCTTCAAATCCGGTTGACTTTATGGTCCGAGGTTGCATCTTTGCAGCAGAAAAAGTTAGAGCATTTGTCCCCGCTGCTACACTGTTCTCTTGCTGAAATAAAATATTAATGCTATGTTCTGTGACGAAACCTGGATGACCGTTTTTGGCCGGTTCTGTTAAAAGCTGCTGTAATTAGGATATTCAACTCCACCCCTGGTCTCGCGTTCATGCCTTTTATGCACCTTGCAAGGTGGGCCACCACGTGAATAACCACAAGCTGTTTAAGTCTAGCAGTGACAAGCTCGACGTCACGAGAATCCAATAAATGATTTGGAGCTGAATTTAGCCGTCAACAACGGCATGGTTTGTAACTTTCACACAGGTTATCCCAACTTTGTATCGTTTTTTTGGACATTGTATTCGTGTCTTGAAGTACAAATTGAAATGAAGGTTTTACCATGGTAAACTTTCTACCGCATATAGACACCGAAACGGAGAACAGTGATATCCTCAATTTACGAACTGTTTGACAAGCAGTGCAATTCGAGTCTGATCGTCTTACACGCGTATACGACTTCCCCAATTTTTACATTCAGCTCCCTCCTGTGCTTCCTCGTGTGATTTCGACACTATTTCCCAACAATCCCTTGGACTCAGACGACCACTCGGTTCACTCCGATATTGCGTTGATCATATGCAGCTTACCCCTTAAAAACTTTGCACTGAACCGCGCTGGCATGTTGGGCTATTTGCTCGGACGTATACAGGCTGCAAAGCTGGGGTCGACTGGAACCAGCGAATTCGGGGTGAATTGACCAAGAACTGGTTTCTTGGTGAAGCAGAGAGTAGTTCACCCAAAGAATGCATCCTAAACTGTAAGCCACATGTTGCTCATACGGAGTTTCCTTACGGAGTTGTCTTCTGTGGCTAATTCGGAGTGGTGGAAACCGAGGGGTGGACAGAATTTGGCATGACAGAAGGGAATGAAGAGTGTTACGAAAGGTTTGTGTTCCGTTGGTGCTGTTTCCTTTCACGTGATCTCCATACGCTTGGCTGGATAGACTGAATGATACTGCGGCTATCCGATGTCAGTGGCATTCATGTTGTCAGTTTTCATCCAGATTGTCTAACTGCCTTGGAGTTGTTCACGGTATGCTAGCCCTAGGTCCCCCTCCTTGCTCCGTTTTCCTTCTTTCTATCATAAGGCTATATTCGAATAACTAGACTTTGTACGGCAGTTACACACTAGTGTTCCCATTTGGTGTTATCGTCAACAGTATTACTAAACACCCAGAGTAATGGGGCTGTTTTTCTACTCCTCCACATCCAACTTATTCCCAGTAGATCTCGAGATGTTTCAAAGTTCAGTCATATTTACTAGGCTATCGAGTCCCAAGTGTACAAAGGGATCACATTTCGTTTCAAATAAGCTGATGAGCCCAGTTGTTCCAAGATTTCAGTGTTATCGTGACGGACACGTGCCGCATGCTGTAGCGTCTTATCTACTATAAGTAATCCTGACACGGATTGTGGGATGAATGAAATCACACGGTTATGTCTGAGTAGGGAGCAGAGCCCCACGTTGTCAGTATGATGTTGGTGACTGGATGAATGATTCTCAACCAGGAATGAACATTGCAACGCAATTACCGTGCCACCAACAAGATAAGTAGGTAAGTTCCAGCGATGATCGGTGTTGTCTGTTTGGGCAGAACACATAGCATCTGACCTTGGAACATTGAGTTCATGAACTGCTCTCTCCTAACACCTTTCCGATAAAAATACAGCCGCAGATTCCGAATGAAATGTTTCATACGGTTGTGTGAGTCCCGTTTGTAGTGGCTTCATCGATGACTCCACAATGATCGCTTCTCGTATATCCCTTCAAATCCGGTTGACTTTATGGTCCGAGGTTGCATCTTTGCAGCAGAAAAAGTTAGAGCATTTGTCCCCGCTGCTACACTGTTCTCTTGCTGAAATAAAATATTAATGCTATGTTCTGTGACGAAACCTGGATGACCGTTTTTGGCCGGTTCTGTTAAAAGCTGCTGTAATTAGGATATTCAACTCCACCCCTGGTCTCGCGTTCATGCCTTTTATGCACCTTGCAAGGTGGGCCACCACGTGAATAACCACAAGCTGTTTAAGTCTAGTAGTGACAAGCTCGACGTCACGAGAATCCAATAAATGATTTGGAGCTGAATTTAGCCGTCAACAACGGCATGGTTTGTAACTTTCACACAGGTTATCCCAACTTTGTATCGTTTTTTTGGACATTGTATTCGTGTCTTGAAGTACAAATTGAAATGAAGGTTTTACCATGGTAAACTTTCTACCGCATATAGACACCGAAACGGAGAACAGTGATATCCTCAATTTACGAACTGTTTGACAAGCAGTGCAATTCGAGTCTGATCGTCTTACACGCGTATACGACTTCCCCAATTTTTACATTCAGCTCCCTCCTGTGCTTCCTCGTGTGATTTCGACACTATTTCCCAACAATCCCTTGGACTCAGACGACCACTCGGTTCACTCCGATATTGCGTTGATCATATGCAGCTTACCCCTTAAAAACTTTGCACTGAACCGCGCTGGCATGTTGGGCTATTTGCTCGGACGTATACAGGCTGCAAACCGCGAACTTCATCCAACACATACCACTTCTCTGCCAGTCTACACAGTGGACAAGAGACAGCGAAACAAAATTCTCTCCAAGTGGTTTACGTCCGGCAGCGAATCTCCCAGCCTTGATATACTGCTTGCCCGGCTGCATGGTCTAGCCCCGCATCCCTCAGTTCTTTCCCATCTGTCTTCTCTGTTAAAAATCCCCGATGTTGACAGGACAACTCAAGGATCGCTTTTTTACGATCACGAAAAGACTTCGATGCGGTATGAACAATTTCTGCTCGCCAGTGTTCTAATAGATGCATACCTTTTTATGATTCATGGATTGTTGGGCGGGTCCGCCAAGTAACACTGAAGGTGAGATAATCGTTCTGGAGTTTTGTTTGTTGTTTGTTAACGACATGAAGCACGGTTATATAGCCCTGTTCATTGGGCGAGCCCTCCTCTCTGGTTTTGCTGTTTCGTCCGAAGCTGCATTTTGCGATTTGAACAAGTTCCTGCAGAAGCAGCAGTCTTGAGGATCTGTGGAGCCAATTGGATTTGAGCGTGGATTCAGCGAGGAGGACCAGGTGGTCGATAGTGTGTTGTGAACCGTGCGGTGGTTGGGAAACCTGCGCATCCGGCGACATCCGATTCATCAGTTCAAAGTTGCCAACTCCAAGCCGAATGACTTACGTATCAGATTCTCTGTGAAGAATCGATGACAATACAGGGTTCTATCCGATTATACGCACTGACATCCTGGGTTTGAGTTTTGTCGCACATATTTACACCCCCGTCGCATTCCATATTCAGGAGGACTGTGCAACGGAGACAAGCAATGGTTCGAGACTAAATAGGCCAACTCACGTTCCTATAAGCTTCACATAGGTCTGTAAGAATGAAAAGGGGCATCCCTCAGTTCGTTGTCATTAGATACCGCATATTTTACGCATCGTTTCACAAAGTTTGCATCCATTTTCGATGCTCTCCCCATCTGTCTGTCCTGTCAGCCACCTCATGATTGCAGTACTTCTCGTCTCTGAAGTCGTTCGCACCATCGGGAAGGGGGCTTGTTGTCATCTGTCGGGAGATAACTTCTCTTGTAGGGTGTGGGTCTATGTTGTCGCCGCGGCGAACACAGAACGTCACCGCGAGTCTGTATGCACTATATTGCTGATTCAAAAAGCCTGGTACATAGTTTTAAACATGGTACAATGAAGCCCAAAGCGATAAAGTGTGGATAAAAGAGGGTAAATTTGGTGGCGCTTCTGTGTCGTTATCGGTAGAGGATTACCAAAGCAGTTCAAAAGTAAACCTGGGTGAGAAGACTTGATGAGCATCACCCAATGGGTCAAAAGTCGCAAGATGCTTTACCATGTAGGCAGTCGCCTAGTTATGGCACTTGATATTTCTCGCAAGTGGGATTTTATGTTTGGACCGAGTGCAGGAAGTTGACATAGCCGGAGCTAAAATAGGGTGAAGAGGGCGTTGACCGTCACGTGACTTTTTTGGATGGAGTTGTAACAGACGTCAAAGTATTCTCTGACCATTAAGCTGAGGCACTTATTGAGATTTTACTGCACTTAGAAGCGCGTTTCTGTGACCTGCCTATGAGACAGTGATCCCCATCCAAAAGGCCGGCGAATATGACAGGAGAACAACAGGTCTGCTGAAGAAGAACACAGACAATAAAATTTTTGAAAATGATGATTCCAAGGTAGCTCAGTGATTAAGGCAAGAAAATACTGTCCGGAAAGTTCATGGTTTTTATCCAACTCCAGCATCTCGGCTGGTGCTGTCTAGGCTTGGGCGACCCGGCAGTATCTCAGCTCTCGTGCNTTTTAATCCAACTTCAGCATCTCGGCTGGTGCTGTCTAGGCTTGGGCGACCCGGTAGTATCTCAGCTCGTGCTTCCTCCGGGTAGCGTGACAGCAAGACACCAAAAAGATGTTACAACTGAACGGTTGTTTTTCTATCATTTATTGTGAAGAAGGTTTAAGGAAACGGATAGGAACATCACTCTGGAAGCATAGAAAAGGTCCCCGTGTTTCGACAAAAGCCTTTCGGCAGACAAATGAAGATAAATAAACTTTCCCTCAGTTGGACCGGCACTTTCTAACCTCTTTAGTTAGAAGGGGTGAAGCTGATTCTGAGGTCTTGAACCACAAATTGGGGCACCCGGGTATTGTCGCTGCTCATCCTGTAACTGACGTGATGACGTCAAGAATCAAACCTATTGTCGCCGTTTTTTGTACATGAGTTCAGCTCTGAGCCACCGCACAATGTTCATCCAGATGTCATCAATAGGGAACTTGATCAACGGCGATGGTAGCTCTTCTCGAGATTTCGAACGTTTCAACGTTTGAGTGCTCGTTATGAATTATCAGTTGTGCCATTCGTACATAAACCCCTCGATGTAGCTGCCACCCCATCCGCGTTGGGACCAGGGGAAACAATGACCTGACGATTGCCGTTCAATGAAGATATACACATTTTCACCTTGGACGGAAACCAACCCAGTCCTCACGAATGTAGTGCTCTAGCTAGGGAGCAAGCCAGAGACGAATGATGAGAACCGTCAAGTTAGGTGCAGCAGCAGTCGCTGCGTTTGGAACAATCTGAATAACTGTGGCGGAATCCCAGTCACTCCCAACCACCAAGGCACTTCATCTCTTTGGTGGATTTTACTAGTGCTCATAAGGAACCCTCGCAAGAGCACTTGGTTTCTTGTTACTTCTTCAAATTGGAAATGAAAAACTCAGACTAAGTCATCCAAACGATCAGAACCTCTGATACTTTGACAGAAACGCTAGGGAGGGGGGAGGGAAGACAAACACAGCGCTCAAACGCACCTGAAGTCAGTTGACCAATGGTCAGCTGAGTTCACCTAAATCCAGGGAGTCCTAAGGTAGCAGATGTTCCCCTCTGAATACAGCGGGGAATTTTGGGGCGACTGAGATCCATGGCTTCCGTGGACGTTAGCATCCGTGAGTTGTAAGTACAGAAGATTGTCTTGGATGCATTATCTAATTTTGAGTGGGGATTAGCCTGGAGAACATGCTTGTCCATCCATGAATCCACCGTTCGATTTGTTGTTTTGGTGATCGGTCGGGCAATTTGTCGTTTCAATCATCTTCGGCTTTCGAACGCATAAAAACCTATGTGTTTTTTTGTACGCATTTCGACCCACAGTTGCAAATGAATCCGCAAGTGCAGTCCGAGGTGGCGGAGATAGTTGTGGGTTTCTTGGCTGGTGGTGTGGTGGCCAAACAGTTTAGTCAACAACGCAAACCTCGCCACCTCGTGGTCGCTGCTCGTCTACTGCATTAGTGTTCGCAGTGTTGTTTCTTTCAATCGGCGGATGTGCTTAAGGGAGTTTCCTTGGGGTCAACACTTGGCATGTTCAACGGAATACTTTGTGTGAGAAGTTCGATTTTGGAATCTGAAGCATCCCTCGAAAATGTTCTAGGTCTGTGTTTAAAGAGTCCTCACTAGAGCTTGTCTGTGCTTGGACCCAGTATAGGTGGCAAAGTGTGGATAACGCCCCCTCCACGTGAGTTTCCTGCGAACTGATACCTTCAAACTAACCTCTGGATATTTGTTTATGGAAACCTCAAAAAGGAAGACCAGCTTCGATTTTTCCGTCGAATAACATATTTAAGTGATGCATATTCAGAGCATTGACAAGCTCCGAACAGGGGATGACGTTCACACAATCGCATGTTATATTCCGTTAGAAGCGCTTCTCACTTACGGTCATAACCAAGTCGACAAGTAAGGCTTTCAAGCGGCTTTCAATCAATACGTCATGAATAAGGATTTATGCTTGTCCTCGAAAACGAAACTGCACATTTTTGGTTCACAAGAGCGGCAGGGCTTTTAGGTGATGTGTTTCGATTAGTGACTGGAGGCTGTTGTTGTCATAAACTCATAAAAAATTTACTCCCATCAACTGACAAGAATTCAACACTGACGGGAGCCTCGAGTGACTTTCACTCTCGTATGCTCTGAGGCTGCGGGGCTGGGTGATATATAGCGAGACCTCTGAATGTTAGCAGAATTGTATGCATACTGTCTGGACTAGGGACTTTATAGCATTCGGAAGAGGAAGCTCCTCAGCGATTTCGTTCATCTGTGGACGCTTGAACCTTACGAGCAAGGAGTAGGCACACTTGGTGTAGAAGGCGAATGGAACCGTTTGTTAAGTTGTTCAGCTCAGCGATCTGCCTGTATATGTAGACAGTATGTGAGTCCTACATCTTCCTCAGCAAGGAAGGACTCCTATCTATGGGATCAACTGGTACAGTATTTGAAAGCTTCTTCACGTAGACGCCATTTCCACTTCAGAAACACTGAGGAAACCAAGTTCCTCTGTGATTCTTGAGGATGCTTTCTATCTTCTTGCGGGTGTGGTTTAGTTCGCCGTCTGCAGAGAGGCGTCGACGGTATTTTAGTAGATCTGAGGAGCTTGGGGGGGATTCCTGCGTGGCTATTCATTAACCACGTGTTGGCGCAGGCTGCTCCAAGCTACTATGTTTTTCTTCACCGGGGGTAGATCATTTATGGATCTAGTTGCTATGTGTTTGAATGTGCAAGTGGGCACCTCTATTACTCCGCTATATCTCGCGCACTCCCACTTCCCGTGACCTAAAACCAACGTGTCCCAGGTACATGGTTCATAGCTGATGAACTGATTGGCTGGTTAGGCAGACTTAGCACACTTGCACTCAATTGGGTGGTCCACTTGGACTGGACTCGATGTGCATGGACAACGGTGTTCAAGTCCTTCAGCTGTCTGCTGACCACTGACTGTTTTAATGCAGTACTAACCGAGGTCATCAAACCACATGATGCCCTTCAACGGCGAGCCAGCCTGGGACCCAAATGGACCACATCAAGATCAGCTACGGGCGCCACGGATCAGTAATGAACGGCTGCTCGGTTTGGAATATCCGTGTGGGTTCTGACGATGAGCTCTTTTGGTGTCGCTTTTCTCTTTGCCTTCCAGGGCCGCGTAACGAACGGATAACTAGCTTAGCAACTGAGGGACTGGAAAATTCCGAAGCTACACGAAATTATCAGAACCGCCTTCTGGGGCCTCCTCAAAATACTTCACCGACGGATATCATGTCTTACTGGGACGATATCACTACATTCTTGCACAATGCAGGAATTTCCGCCTATGATATGGCGCAGTTAGGTCCGCCAAAGCACTGGATATAAAACAAAAAAATCGTTCAGCTGTAGCACCCTTTCGGTGCCTAACTGCCATGCCACACGAAGAAGGCACGAGGGCTGGGATACTGCCAGGTTGCCCAAGCCTAGACAGGGGAAGTCGAGAGGTAGAGGTTGGGTTCGAACCACGGACCTTCCGGTCAGTAAATTCGCGCTCTAACCACTTGGTCCATCTCGCCCCCATCAGACCAAACAGTGGGGCTGCTTCGATCTAAGGGGAACGTTCCAACCGGCCCCATATATAACGCAGCCCAATGAATTATCGGACGTCAAGTCAAACCTAGAGTGGGTGCTAACCATGAACCTTGGCGGGCTCAGAAGGCTAAGGAAATGGAAGGGGCTCAGAAAGCGGGAAGTACCCGAAGATTGTTCCAGTCGATCCATGCAGCCAGTCCAGGGCAAACACTGGTGAACGAAACAACCAACGATCAAAGTGGCACGACCGTCTTCAGTGAAGGATGCGTTGACAACTGAGCCGAGAATTTTATTTAAGATTCCATGTGGCTACCTGTCACTACGTCGGCTGGTGAACCTGAAACCTTCTACGGCTCTCGGTCCGAATGACCTCCCACTCGCACCGTTCAAGGCCGGAGTGAAACCCACAGTCAGCGCTTACCTGATCTTTACCTTCATTTGAGAAAAGGCGACTGTCTCAGACAACCGGGAAGAATCGGCGTTAGCGCCCATTCTTAAACAGGACTCGTAATGAGTGTGGCAACCACAAGGGGACCAGCTTCATTCCGCAGTTGTCTGGGCTATATTTTTTCCTCCAAATACATGTAAATAGTTTGGAGAGGCATTGACTGGGGAATGCGCCTCAGTCCTTGAACATGGCAGATGGAAGGTCGTTGGGACTGGGGGTACAAGGGAGCTTTGTATGGATGTACATTCAAACACTTCTGAGGCTGAAGGGGGCTCCACATCCACAGCTCGTGTTTTCGTCGGAGGACGACAGCACGGATTAGAATTGGAAGGTGGTCAACCGAAGTGTTGTTCGAAGTATCTTGCCAAACGGTTCAAACGTTGGTTTTTGGATGTCAGGTCCGTCGTGGTCCTTGGTGATTTCGCTGACAAGAGGCTTCTGATGACCTGACGAATCAGGTGAAGCCCTCCGCGGACACTTCCAGCATTTTTCGGCTCTCCCATTTTTCAACCTGGACCCACCAAGCTTCGCGGTGTAGGTGAATATTCAGGTTTACCTGAAGTCTAATGATGCGTCGAGTTGGATTATGCTTGCGACCAGGGGGCCTCTAGCAGAGCCAAGGTTCTTTCAGAGATTCATTGCTTGGGTCGCACTGCAGGCAGAAGCCCCTGCACCAAGTACGGTTTTGGATGTCTCTCTCCAATGATGGTTAATATCTGATATTGAATCAACAGGCATGCGCTTAAGTGGCGTATGGGTGGTGTAGCTTATTGGTCCACGAGGTTCGCAATAGCCAAGCGGCGCGCGTGCCTAAAACAAGCCTCCCAATAAACGCGCAGCACGATGTGGTGTTCGGCGAAGACCAGTCAAGCGGGTGGGATTCTGGCGACAAGCTCTACACGATTCCCAATGTAGCGTATCCCACTGCAGCAGCTTCTAATCCGGGATTTCGTCAAGCCTGTTAAGTCGACTGTTCACTGTCTATCGTGTTTGGGATCGCGTTTATGGACGAAACTTCCTTAGCAGAGAATCTGAGTAGCGGAGTATTTAGTGGAACCGCAATTTCCCTCCAGCTTTTGAGGTTCAACTCTCCGAGTCAAGTCAAGTACTTATACATACATGAATTTTCAGCGTACATATTTGCTACTGTATTTTTATTTAATTGATGAAGTACTTCCATATACTGTTGTGTGGAGCTAACCCCACTCATAGGGTTTCTGAAAACTCTTCGGTAGCACACGAACGCTAGACACCGATGCATCGCGATATCTCGAATATCGTACCACTGAAACATGAGGTGGCCGGGCGTAGCCTATTCAGTTGAAACAGACCGTCATAAACGAGAGATTCAGCTGGATCCATTTGAGTCTCCTATCAAGACCGAGTTCGTGTACAAACGAGAGCACTTCGATATACGTTAAGAAATTCGCCTGATTTGCTTGTCACTGAACCCCTCACAAAAGTAGGCGGGACATGATGTTGTCACGCAGTGGGAATAAATAGAAAGCGGCCCGAGCAAAGAATAACAGAAACACGCTAATTCGACTTTTTTGCCAGCAAAAGCTTGTCGTTGGTGCGGGTTTTTGAGGTAAACCTGGTTTTAGTGAGCGACTGGCGAAGAGGGCGACGAACGTCTGGAGGTAAGATTTTACTGACCTGACAGTAATGTGGTAGTCGTTTTCAAGACGTTGCGCGAAACGACAAATGGACGATAGATACACTGGAGCAAAATACATGCATTGATACACCTGTGAAGGGAATCAACAGGAACAGAAGACGTCTTCGGTCTCAGCATAAGAAGCAGAAGACGAACTAATTTCACTCGATAGGGTCACACCCAGTTAGTTGATAGTGGAATTTTTGAGTAGAGAGACACTGAAACAATGAGGGGTTGCTGGCTACTGAGCAGATCAGTATAATGTGGACCGGGAGGCTAGGGAGAATAGTCTTGGCATTTCGAGAGATTAAGGATTAGAGGGCGGTCGCCGGACCAGCTAAAACCTTCATTCAGCACACTTGATGGCTCCGGTTTTGATCGCGGCAGCTGAGATCGATCACTCTGCTACGAACGTATTTGCATTCAGTGAGAAAATCAGGGCTGGGCATGTCTTTTATTTCCGATGGGACGGAAAAGATGGGAACAACACCTTTGGGGAACATAAGAAGTTATTCGGAGCATTATCTCATTTGTCCATCTTACCCGTCAAAGACAAGGCATTCTACTCATCGTGCGAAGGTAGTATGGAGAGGCAGAGTACTGCTTCTGTTTTAACAAGACCATAATTTAGTTTTTTTTCGATATGTACGAGGTTATTATCCTCAGCCTAACATCAATGTCCAACACTGATGCTTTGCTAGGCTAGTTGTTCAAGTCCCAGGATTACGTTGCTTGTGTTTAAGTGGTAACAGAAGCACAGACACTCCGCAGCCTACTGTCCAGTACCTTCTCCTCTCCTTTCATTCACTCATTATTCGATTTTCTCGTTGAATTCTTTGCAGGCCAGGGCGGCGTTAGTCCACTTGGATCAAAACGGCGTCACACCTGCTTACTGTGAAACAGCCGGTCTACTGTTCCGGCCCGTATCGTTTGGACAAACTCCGAAGGCGAGAACAACATTAGCTGATACGATTGGATACAGCCAGCACGCTCTAGTCCTGGGTTTCTTGTGCGCCAGTCTCCTGCCCTCTTCAAATCCAAACTCGCTTGCTTTTCCATGTATTGATGAATACAGCCTATCTTCGTGGGTTGGTTACCGAGCAGAAGATTGGCCTCGCGTTGTCCAGGAAGCCCTTCAAAATTACCCGGATGCCTATATTCGACTGACTCCCCCAGTTAGACGTTCCATACCAGTTCGAAATCACACAGAGGACATTTTGAATGTAAATTTGCACTTCAAATCCGACACAATCATGTCTACGTTTGACTCCCGCAGTACGCAACACCGGGACCGCGTTTCTATCCAGTTCTTGTTGTCTCGTTGTTTATTTTACTGCTTGCATTACTTTTTCGGTAGAGACTATCAGTGAAGTAGCTTTTGCACTGCTGTACTTACGAAATGCAGTTTATTTTTTTACATAGAATGTTTTCTAGATGCTCATCTCGCTTGTTTGTCTGAAGATCAAGCTGAAGATTGGCTTCTCCCTTCATACAGACTGGTGATATACCTGTAAGATCTGGGTTTCTGTTACTTATATAGGAGCAGATACGTTCGTTGAAGCTAGGGCGGCCCTGCGCTTCTGCTAAGAGTTGGTCCATTCGGTCGAATCCCATTCACAATATAAGCGATGCACCCGTTAAAAGTAATGTAGGAACACCGGATCCGTCTGGCGGCTGGCAAAGGATTCAATGTGAAACACTAGGACGGAATGTCTCAGTTAGTCTTGGGATACGAACGCTGTGCTATTTCCGAATGACTGAATCCATCAAAGCTACGTTCATTACTTGACAACCAGTATGACACCTCCTTAGCTAAGGTATACATCTCCCGTAGTCGGGCGTCTACGGAGTTATTGAATACCACTTAAATTCCATGACTATAATGCCTCAGCTCAGTTCTTGTCAAAAGATTCACCGAAGGTGAGCAACATGTATTAAACGCCCAGAGCCTGATAAAAAACACAGCGTGTTTGTTCTATTCAACGTGTATGAGGCGGCAACATTCTGAGGATTCCGACTCCTGGACGCGCCATTGGTAACCAGCATCCGGTGGATACTGAATTATGATGGGCTGTTGGGTCCACACTTTCGGCCAATCACAGCTCAACTTGATGCTGGTCCGAGAAGCGGCCCGATCTTCTGGCCAATCGCATGCGGGATAGGCCTCTTGGTCGTAGCAGAGCCCAACTGCGAAGCGGGGCGGGATTTCGCCTAATAATGACAGACGCACTTATTCTCCTGTCAGGCCATCAAACTCAAAGCGATAGTGCGCCCACGTGGCAGATAACCCCAAGTCACGACCGAGTTCATGACCACAAGAATAGTGATCAATGTACGCGTCAAAACCTCAAGCAAATGTCCGGTCGCAGATGAACTAACATAAGCCGTACTCTTTCCGGATGACGTGAAGTTGAGGAAAGCTCGATACATCCGGGGTGAATTCCCACTCCAAAACCCAGCAGAACTTAAGCATGTTATACCTAACGACTTTTCCGCTAACCATTTTTTTAAGCAGCGTCTGTCCTTTTACATCACATTCGTATACATTCAGTTCTCATTGCTTTGTGAAAACTCACCCTATAGGCGTAGAGAACTTTTGTTTACTTAACTTCGATTCGCACACGAGCCCAGACTGTAAAATGTACCGAGTACCTTTTAGCCGTAGGACTCCACACGAAAGAACGGTTTTGGCTGGTTCAGTGGGTCTACTTTCTAAACGGACAGAGCTGCGCATGGATTCATGTACTCTGGGATTTCAGGGTACTTTAAAATAAGTCTCCCGGTATTCAGCCGTTTGACGGCGACACTTGGAACTGGAGAGGAAAGGCTCAAACTGCCCAATCACGTCAGTACCGCCTAACCAGCTGTCGTACAAAACTGACACAATGTCAGTGTCGTTGAATAGCGGCCAATCAACAGTTACCATTACTGAGGTTTTCCAATGCCAGACTGAGAAAATTCGCAACATAATGGATAGATAAGTGAATGTACAAAGTACCTTTCGTACTGTTAACGAGTGCACCCTACCCGAAAACAAAACCGGAAAGTCTAAATGCGACATAAGATCACGTGTACACGTTGGGAACCGAAAATGGACTGATTGTCCAATCAATGTGGCCACAGCGATTTGGCTCGGTACGGGTATGGTTGAGCAGGTAAAAAAAGTAGCGTTCAGCTGTAGCACCCCTTCGATGTCTAGCTGCCGTGCCAACAGCAGGAGGCACGACGGATGAGATACTGTTAGGATCCGAAAGCCTAAACAGGAAAAGTCGAGTTTGAACCACAGAACCTTCCGGTCCGTAAGCTAGTGCCTTAACCACTGAGCTATCTAAAGCCCATTGAGCAGATCTTTCGGACGGGGTACTGTGATACGGAAACTTTCCACACTCCCCACAGAGAAACTAGGTAAATCCAGTACCCCCATTTTGGGACACCAAATCAACAAGCGTGGATTATAATCAGTAGGCGTGTTTTGCATTGATTACAAGACTGCTGTGTACATCATACCAGTCATCTACAAAGTAAAGTCAAATCGTTTTGTGTCGAACAAGAACTTGAAGTAGGGTGGACATTGCTATGGGGTGGGGGGTTGGAGGAAAACTGCGTTAGTGAATTGCGAAATAGCTCATGATTAGGACGCGTGCTGAGTAACGGTTTATCGTTCCAGTAGGAAGAAAAGGAGACGCAGGAATAGCGGCTTCATGTGATTAGGCCAAGGAATGAGATCACCCTGTAGGCATTATAGGTCACGGATAAGAGGTCTGTCATTGTCTCCTTCCGCGACCGCGCCCACGACCCCGGCGACCTCGGCCTCTGGTGGAAATCGTCTTCGCGACCGGTAAGTCTCGTGTTGAAGGGCTGGAGAAACGAGCTGGTCGCCCCCGACCTCGACGCGGCGTACAACGGATTTTTAAAGGAATCTCATCGTCCGACGGTTGTGTTTCTTCAACATCTTGTTCGCTTGCTGTTGCCGAGGTTTCCGGCAAAGTCGGAGTGGTCAGGCTGTCAGAAAGTTTGTTATCTTCTGTTGGGTTGCTCACTGGTGTCAAAGGAGCTAGGACAGAACTGTCAGGCTCGGATTTTACATGGGTTAGTTCCTGTTCACTCACAAATTTTGTGGACTCTTCATCGCTGGTATTGACCACTTCCTCCGCGCCTTTTAAGGTTGTCGTGGCTGAAGCAGGTTCTATATTTGAATTTGGTGCCATCCTGGATGAAGGAGAAGGGAGTGGTAATGGATTATAGAGAACAAAAAGCGGTCTATTCGTAACAGCATAATTCAGTCTTCAAAGCTGATGCTCTTGGGGGAGTTATGCTAAAATAGCCCCAGTCCAACACTCGGTGGGTCTACATTCATCCATTCTCCTCAGAAATTGACCGCAAACGTTGGTTGGTTCACTTTTGGTAACTGTAACAGGACGGGGTATCCAAAATGTGTAATGCTTAGCGACTGGGATTGCCCTAGAAACACAAAACAAGGCGTAACGTAAATGGTTTGAGCTTCTCTCTGGAGCCAACTGAAAATTATACTATTCCGTGTGAAAGTTGGTACCACTATTCAGTGAGGCTTGACGGATTTTACAATTCGACAACTCACCGAATCAGATCATCCAAGCGGAAGGAATGGCGGAATTGGTTGTAGAAGTCCCGAATGAAACTTTCTGTTTTCGAACCGATAGTCCTTGCAATCTGAGCAAAGTTTGTACCATATCGGGACATGGCGGTCAGGACCAAAGCCAATTCTGTCTTGGTCCACCGATAGGAAATCTAAGCGTATGAGGAGTAAACGAAAAGGGAGGTATGAATTCGACCATGAGAGTAAAGAAGCTTGCCGTCCAATTTCAGTGTAAATTCACACGAAGGTCAAGCGCAAACCTGGTCGAGTTTGGGCAGTTGTTCCTCTTCTTACAATTACAAAAAATGGAACTTGATCAGATTCCTTATTCAGAACCAACTGGAGCAGTTTCAAAGGCAAATATCCAAGAGTTTGTGGTGGACGGGTGTCTTCTGTGCCTCCGAACTGCTTCATAAACGTTCTATCTTGCTCAATAATCCGTATACTGATGGGGTCAACAGCAAGGCCCTATCCGATTGACCCAACTTCGGCCGATCAGTGCACGGCATGATTCTTATAGTCCACATTCACCGATCACATAAACGAAATCGATAAGCTGTGTTCACTTCCAGCCCTCGCACTTACAGAGGAAGTACACGTCCAGAGACGGACACAAATGGCGCACATACCATCGCAATGTGATCCCTGTTCAATGAACCGTGTAAAAACTGGCTTAGGCAAACTACAAATGGGCTGACCTTTCGTTGCTGCCTGCTTCGCTCCTGTAGTGGATATTCACCGCGTTTCACATCTGGGTGAGATCATGTCGCTACAGGCACCTGCGTGTTCACCTACATCCTAGGCTCAACATTAGACGCAGCCTCGCATTTTACGCAGCTGAGTGGAGAACATTAGCGAAATTTGAACCACAGCGTTTGTCGAAAGTCAAGCTCAATTTCTGACACAGTGGAATCCTTGCAAAGTAGCTACGGTATACCCTGAAAACTTCCATTCATTAGTGATAACACGGATACCTCACTGCCATAAAAAACACAAAGTTCACTTGGCCATATTTAAAACTCTTTACACCTGGAAGGTGTAAAGTGTAACTGTAAAATCGTGTCGTCAAACCCGAACCACACACTTGGAGGCGAACCGATCGATATGTTAGATAAATTCGCCTATCAGAGTAGCTACACAAGTCTCTGTGGACTGGTGAAGAATGAACTCAACCCCCAAAGGCCAGGACTGTGTTTGCAACATGTGATGTGGCACCGATGTGATATTAATTAGATTGTCAAGGATAGAGTATATACTGTTGTGGTTGTCTGAGTTAATTTCTGAACTGGAGACATGGCCTTCTCGTGGATACCTTCAAAAACTCTGTCTGACTATCTGTCTGTTTTCCAAACAGCACAGGTCTGATGGGAAAACATACGATCAGTAATGCTGAGGTGCAGCTAATTTCGGTGATGCATCAAAGCTGTCATTCCATTACTGTCCTTATTCTTGGTAAACAAAACTTTGGCAGCTGGAGGCACCGTGCTGCGGTACAGAGTTTATAGCTAAATGACTGAACCGAACTCAACCTTTTCCGTCATGACTTATGCAAGTAAGTCAAGATAAGAGCGGAAACAAGCCGAACCGTCTGTGCGCAGGGCTGCGACCTCTGAGCCCTAGTCGCGTCAGCTGAATCAAAACTAATCGGTTACGAAATACCCTTCATTATGATCTACTAAAACAGCAGCTCTCCGCAACTTCTGGACAACCTTTTTTCGCGTTAGTCTTCCTTTCAGAGTAGAATGATCGAAGCTGTACTGTCGCATCGAGTGTACATAAATCAGGCACAGTGTACCGAAAGAAAACCAACAGAAGAATTATTACAGATCACCAAATCCCCATTGGGGACGAAATCATAGTTTGTATGACCACGAATGAACACACAAAACCACCTACCAAACAGGTCACATTTGTTACAGTGAAAAATATCAGTTTGGTTGTCCTAGAAACGTCTGATAATGCTGAATGAGCAAATGAGTAAATCACTCAGAAGGTTAGGACTTACTTCCGGGAAGCCACACTCGGGCTTTAGTCCACGGATTCTGCTCAAAAGTGATCGAGCACGGTTTTCCACTGCCTGTTACGAAGAAAGAGGAATAAGCAATGACAAACAGTTGGCGGACCTCATTTACGACAAGGCGATCAATACAATCCAAGATGACCCACAATAACGGCAGCTTATTATTTCAGCAAGTTGTGAATAAGCTGATCGTCCACACCTATCATTGGTCTCTATTCAGTTAGCTGCCTAACTTGGAGTTCAACTGTGGTACGGTTAGAACAATCTGGCCCACACGAATGACAGAGGCCAGACGATTCTAAACAGCGTTGTACAGTATATAGTTCTACGGAAAAAAACCGTTCGGCCGTAGCACCCTTTCAATTCCTAGCTACCATGCTATCCGAAGGAAGCAGTAGGGCTGGGATAGTGCCAGGTTGCCTAGGTCGGGATGCAGAGGTCGGGTTCGAATAACGGACCTTCCGGTGAGTATATTCGCAGTCTAACCACTGGGTCATCTCACCCCTAGTTCTAGAGATATCACCTAGATAAAAATACCCTATTTGCGGTTCTCAAAAGACATACAAAAGGTGTGTAAAGAGTGGTGATAAGACAGATGTGTGAAATTTTCGTTTGGCTATCCGAGTTCCTTTCAGAGTATGCACTGGCTCGAAGCTGGAAGAATTTACCATCCGAAATCGAATCGGCTGATTCTAGTATGTGATCGATTGAGAGCGAATCACATGGGCCATTGAGCTATCCCGGTGGAGTTCGATGTTGAAAGTATTATGACACGTGCTATTGCGGATCAGAATGATGGCAGTTCAACATCGAATTCCAACAGACTCTTGATTATGGCAAATTGTACATACCTCGGTAGTTGTATTAGCTCTGACGGGAATATGTCTGATGAAGTCATTGGAAGAATCTCAAAAGCTCGAATCACGTTTGCTAAGTCGCGTCACAAAGCAATACCGCTAGATCTTAAGGGTTCATAAGGCTACAATAAGGGCTGCGTTATCGTATGGGTGCGAGACGGCCTCTGCGGACAGATGATGTGAAGTGTCGTCAGGTTTTTTACCAAGGGGGCCTCAGAAGCGTTTCCGGTTTTGAATGGCGTCCGCGTGTTAGCAATGAAGTGATTGAAAAGTGAGTATTTGGTTGTGCGCAGAGGCTCCAAACGCGGGAATCATCCAGCATCATTAGCTGCGGTTGCTCGGTCATGTGCTACGCATCCCCTAACACTGTCTACCGAAGCACGTGTTGTCCTCTGTGCCTCCTTCAGAATGGCGTAAACTGCGAGGTGGACACCGCGTAGCTTGGCCGAAGGGCGTGAAAGAGATCACGAAGAGTTTGGGTGTTGGATAAGGTCCTCGTGACCCCACCTGTGCTTGGCTGGAGACGTTGCACGAAATGGCGGCTAATCGATGTCGGTGGTGTCCGTGATGCCAGTTTCTTTCCCGACTGTCTGATTGGGCGCTTGGAGGTGTGGGCACATAGAATGCTTGATACAGGCCAGCACTAGGTCTCCTCCCTCATCCACTCTTTTTCTCTTCTTTTTACTCTAGAGCTTTGGCAATGAAGCGTCAGTGTCAACGCTGGTGTTGTTGTCTTTGATGATGACGATGAGACTCTAGATATGATCGTATGACAAATTCTCAGAGGCCAAAGTGAGTGTTCGACTACTAGGAATAAGAGAACTCAATGACATGAAGCCCCACAAATAACAAGTCCCACTTGATCAGGCTATTAATATAAATTTGGCCGTCTAGTGATTTTTACTCAGCCACTTCGGACAAGCAGGGCTATTGGTGGTAGATTTGTCTTGGATGTCTCGTTCCAGTTCGGGTTTCGTGCCACTCTTGTTCGGACGTGTCGCTTCTGCAGAACCAAAGGCGCCTGAGATGACCACGGTCATTTCGTTCAGCGAGACTTCTACGATAACTCCGGCACCAATGCTTTCCAGCTTAGCTGTGGGTTTACTTTTGATTCGATGACAGGATTATCATATCAGAAGGATTATCATCCTTGTGGACTGATTCAAAATTAACATTCTGGTGGCCCCAGTTTTGTGGTTATGGGGAGCATCAGCCTGAAGTAGATATTCACCAAAAGGCTGGTGGCTAACCTACCCCCTACATAAAATTCCTCATCCGGCGGCATCAGTCGAGATTTGGGGAAGCCATCAGGACGACTGAGTGTTGAAGGTCGTGCGTCCGTCTGCTCTGTTTAGGGTCACAAGACACAGTTTACTGACCTGGCTAGTCACCTCTCAACTTCCTCTGTCTAGGCTTGGGCAATCTGGCAGTATCCCAGCCCTTGTGCATAGCCGCTACGCGCCGGAAGGGCTGAGCGATTTTTTTAGGGAGTAACATTCTTATGAGGAATGTTGAAATGCATCGGTGTAACCAGACGCTACTGTCATTAAAGCACGTCTGCAGTGGCCAGAGTTTCTTGGGAACTCTACCACAAACTGTATTCCCTCACCACAGACTCGCTCAGTGGGTTCAAATGCGGTCACATAGTTGACAAGTCGACTGGACCGCGTTCGCCATTCGAGGGCCTTCAAATAATTTATCAACAGGAAGCTCAGCGTGACTCATCGTTATATTGGAATCATGATTCTGCGCATATATATTCGGACACGTCATTCACAATCTGTGTCAGGAAAAGTCCAACCATTCTTGCAATTACAAGTGAAATTTCAGTATACAAGTTAGTCGCAATTCCTACAGGGAAGATATTTCGATGAGTTCACATTCAAACACTGATCCACGATACTATTTGGCTCCACCTTGTGTACGGTAGACCAGAAGCTACCAGAAGTACCTTAGTCGCACTAGTGTGCTCAAGCGTCTCGACCGTTCTGTGCAATACAACTTCATAGAAATAAATACTGAGCCCTGTTTTACGCAGCAAAAGTGGAAAACCCGAGTAATGAATCGGTTGAACCACTAAAGCACATTACTGGATTTTAATGGTCCTGTAGGGATTGGAACTGAACCCACAAGACAGAAAGACGCGTTTATGAAAATGGGTTCCCAGAGTGTGTTATTTTCAGATAACTTGTGTACTCGTACTTTCAAGCCCCAGCAACGGAGGAATGTTTGGATCTCTCTTGGCACCCGGGGTGAATGAAATGTCCGGGTGTACACACTCACAGCTGTTGTTCCAACAGGATGATGCATCATCAAAATACACGCTTCCTGTGCGACAATAACTGGAGGGTCCACAATCGGACGAGGTGGTTCAGTAAGCTGGTCGTCGAGACAGGTACAATCACAGGTTAAAATAGTGCACTTGGACTGCCAACGAATTGGATTAAATTTTGACTCATCCAGAAGGAAAATTTATGGTAATTTCGTCGTCAAGAGAAAAACGAACAGTGGCCTAGGAATTGGTGGTGTTCGAGTTATCGTGCAAGTCCCGGTGAGTGGAATGGTTATAGGTATAGCCAACGTGTTTGATTTTGCGGATATGGTGTTGGCGAATGAGAGGCCCTATCACAGCAAGCCTCCAAAAATACCAGATATTGAACATCAATCAATCCGTTTTATATCACTACAGTGGATTGTGAAAAAGAGTCTGGCAAAAACTGCGATCAAGCACAAAATATACGAAACACCGAATCCATATTGACCGCCCGATACGAACCGAGTAGCGAATACGAAATGGATGGGGGGTTGGTGGTGTAGCTGGTGCATTTGTGAACAAGGTCGATACCATTAGGTCTCGTTATTCCACATAGCCCAGAAACCGCAATGATATGCTTTAGGTTGAGCCCCTGGAATGGACAGACAAGCTAGATCATAGAGATCATTTTCAAAAACCATTTCACCGAACGGGCTTGTTGGTCGTTAAGTTTCCGACCCTCTTCAGGCCTGGCGGACCTGCATTCACCCATTCTGATTGATTACCTAACCCGCGTCACCGGATCACTCGAACCGTAGATGTTGTATAGGCTCATCTTGAGGCACGATTGTTTGGAGCCGTTTCCAAACTCCCGTGATTATGTAACAAAAGGTTAAAAGATTCAATTTTGTCTTGCGGATTTCCAAGCTACACTAGGAAAGTTGTCCAGAGCATACCCAAGGTGTACATTGACCAGTTGTAGTAGAGAACACCAAAGAAGATAGCCATCATGAAATTTTCGTACTTCAAGAATTCGAAGGTTAAGGAAACCAAGAACCAAGCGATAAAAAAACCGAGCGTGCGGAAAGTAACCCACGGCTACCAGCAAGGCGGGATCATTAAACTCTATTTTTACCAAATTCGTGTTCCGGCCGAATGGTACTTTGCCCTAAAAACTAAAGAGGGAGCGACTATCTACAGGATTGACTGAGAACCGATGAAAGATGATGCACTGCGTGTATCACCACAAGCAGGACTATCGAATTTGTGTGGGACTACTGGCTGCCCACAACTGCCTGTGGCACCGCCAGACCTGTTGGTAGTGACCAACGGATTGTCCACTGGAGAGATTGGCACGTGTCAGACGACTCTAGTCTCAAGTTTGAAAATTTGTCCAGAAAGTGCTGACGAAAAGACCGTCAAACTCGCTTATTTAACAAACCGCGTGGCCAGAAGTGAAAGAGCTTAGAACGATCGAGGAGCTCAGGGTCTTCACTGTAAACTTCAAGTTCTATCTACGAAGATCTAGGTTGCATCCTGATTTGCAATTGGACAGATATTGTTCCTTTTTGTTCCATCTTTTGGGTTACGCTCATGAAAGGGATACGAAATATTGGTGGGCTAACTCTTGGTTTCAAATATATAAAGACTCGGAAATACTTGAAGTATTTAGGCGAGAAAATATCAAGTAAACAACTACCAGAATGGGAGTATTGTGCATCCGGGCTTCATCAAACTCTTCAACTATTCGCCGTCTGAATCCGAAACAACCTTGATATTGTCTAGTGCCTTAGAAATCCACGTGAATAAACGAACTTGACCCGAACAGCACACCAGACGAGATAATAAAGAAACGGTTAGTTGACCGACTACATAAACAGCCGACGTAAGGCTATGCACACAAATTGAGAGTAGGTAGTACCTGCACTTGTTGAAAGAGTTCAGAATCAAGACGCTCGGCTGAGGATAGTTCCAGTTCGCGCTCCTCCGCGTGTTGGGAATCCGGAGTGGTGATGAAAGAGAGGAATTCGGCGTGGTCGTAATGTACACCAGAGGGCAGTGTGTGCTTGGAAGAGCTGTTTCAAAAGAGAAGATGGATCCGATCTAATCAAACGGTTAAGATGAAAATGAACCGCTGCGCAATAACGTCGTGATCTATTCCGACGACGAAGAACAAACAAGTCACGCAGCTCAGCACTTCTCATAGCTAGGGCCTGGAATCGCAACGTTTGGTACACACCCCGCAGTATGTGCGCACGATACAAGTGAAAGGTATCGAACTCATTGGTCAAAGATAACTATGTCACATCTGTGATATTCTCGCTGGAGGTCGGAGCTGTTCACTGTGAAAGAAAACGCGATGTTAGCAGTTTTCAAGTCCATACAACAGCAGTGGAAAAGCTGGCAGTGGGTTTAAAACACAAACATTTTGCTCCGGAGCCATTTCCGGCTAGGGCGCTACGAGACATTGTACACGATCACAAGAAACAGGAGAACAGGGTGTGATGTAGTAACCAGAAGCCAAGTTGTACGTAATCACTGATCTAAAACAGAAGGATCGTATTCATCCGAATGGCGTTTGAACTAAAATCTCAGCTTCGGGATATATGCACCAAGGTATCTGAGCCACAAGGGCGAGATGGCTCAATTGGTTAGAACGCGAATCTACTGACCGGAAGGTCAGCGGTTCGAACCCGACCTCTGCCTCTCCACTTCTGCTGTCTAGGCTTGGTCAACCTGGCAGTATCTAAGCCCTCGTGCTTCCTTCGGGTGGCAGCTAGGCACCGAAAGGGTGCTACAGCCGAACGGTTTCTTAATCTGAGTCACACTGTTGGAGAAGAATGCGCATAAATTACTTAATAGTGGCATGCACATGTAAGTTGGTGGCAGGTTTTAACGGTGGCTTCAGAGTATGAACAGGTGCTCTCCAATAGAAAAAAAAACACCGCTGCTAGCCTGTACTTCCTAATTCCTTGGGCCTTTGGTGGTATTAAACAATAGTTTTGTTTTCGGTTGGTCATTCCAATCTAGATTACCGTGGACTCTCTCACCTTTCCAAGCAGCCGCACCTTCAATTGCGTACGAGTGAACAGTCTGCACAAGACAGTCGACTGGACTGATTGGGTCTGGTAGACACGTGTCAATTGTGCGTTGTTGCAACACGGCCCCCGGACAGAAATGGTTCGCTTTTCTGGCATAATATAGTGCATGCATCCTTGAACGACAGTTTATTCTTACTGGATGGATGACTCATTCACGCGACGCATCTGACGTTCAGCTTTCTTTTTTGATAGAATGTACGTGCGAGCGTTGACAGGCGGTGTAAGTGTACGCTAACCTAGTTTGCGACGACAGATTAGGGCCCATGCTGAATTCGCTTTGAGGTGCTCTACGGAGCATTAATTTGAAAGCCCGCAGTGGCCTGCGCTACAGGGTCACTCAAGGACATCCGCAAAGGGGTGAGGCAAGGTACATAGCCAAAAATCAGATCAAATAATGTTCAAACATGCATCGCAACTTCATGTTCGGGTGGCCTATGTGCGTTTCTAGGCGGACGATGCACTTGCCGCATGTATCACGCTGCAATGCAAACTGCATTATCAGAGGGTTTACAGGCGCAAGGGCAACTAGCCTTTCAGGTCGGTGTCACAGCATCTGTAGCAGGGACAGTTTCGCAACGGCTACGAGGAATGCATTAATAGACCCAGCCGTGGGAGAAAATGACCGATTCAAGGTCAGCGAAAAATGACAAGAGCTATGTCCGACATGGGGGAGGGAGGATGAACACAATCACGAAAGTTGCAGAACGTGTTCTTCCAACTCCGTCATCTACTCGCGAAATACACTCATTTGTATACCACCTGGGTTTGAACGGCAGACGCAAGTAGATCTTAGCTGAATTTCTCGTTTTCTTCCCGATTCATGATGATGTCTGCGTGAAAGTCTCTCATATGTTACAACTGGAGTTCGTGAAAACTACCAGTGGAAGTCAGGGGTCTACACGGACCACGGGATATTCATAGTAGTACTTGGCGATGTACCATTTTGCTCTGGTTTAATGGGAAGCTTTTAGTTAGTACCTCGACTGATTTTGTATAGTAGAGAGAAAAGCATAAGGTGGCATATTCGCAGCTTGGAGAGTGCAACTGGTTCACGTATCCCAACTGAGCTCAGAATCATGACATTGTAGTAGTTTGGTCGTGGAAATCGCTACCTTTGAGCATAGGAATGAAGAACTAAGAAAGTTGGCAGTTCCTTCTGTGGGACTTCGAGAGGGAATTCACAGTTGGAGTTCGTCTCTGACATCCTCACGATTCGTATTCAAAGCTGAGCGAATGGACAATGAGTCCGGCCTCGTGTTCCGCGCAGTTTACACAGCGGCTGTGCACCAGAAGGACAACACAACTAAAAAATCCTCGTGAAGCTTCCAAGGGTGTGAATCATGAATATCATTCAGGTCACCCTGCATCGATATATATACATAAGAAAATCTCTCAGTGGCGATGAACTTATGGCTTCAGAGTGAATGTCGTACGAATGTTTGAAGTAAACAGCATTGTCGGTTGAAAAAAAGAGAATACACAGTTCCAAACAGCGACGGTGTTGGCAGAGAATTTAAGCCGTTCTGGTGAGGCACTATTCCAGAATGCAAAAGCATGAGAACCAAGGCACGCTCAGGTAATGATCGCCAAGGCAAATAATGAATGTATGCAATATCGTCTGACCTAGAATTTCGCCTAACTATGGCTTTTCACATATGGAACCAAACAGGCAATGAGTTACGATTAATCTTTATGAAGCGTTGCGTTACGATGGTGCTCTACACGTCGAATGTGACGGGTAAATCCAAGGGTTTGGTCACCTGATGCAATCCCAACATTAGCGTGACTGAAACGTAGCAAGTGGCAGTCTTTCCACAATGGTTTAGCGGCAATTAGTACTACATGTTCGCCGACATTCGAAAGTGGAATTACCAATTTGTTTAGTACATTTTCTGGGCAACTATGACCGCAGGCACACAAGTAGCCTTTTTTCAACCCACACGATTTCTTAATTGCACCTGCGCAAGACTATCTGTCCTCCAAAACAAGGACCACTAATGGATAAGAGTTAGCAATCTTTGTGTGCAAGAAAGTTGAGCAACGTCAGCCGCAGAGACATGAGTACACTTTCAAACTCTTGATTAGATCATATACCAAGTACAACAACAAGGAAGTCTCGACTGTTGAAGAAATAAGTTCGATTGACACAGTAAGCTGGAAGTAGGAAGTATCGTAGGCGGCGCTTTCGGAATTCCTAGCCCCCCTAAATTCTTCTACAGTGACTACGTTTTCCAGGACCAACCTACTAGGCTGAATATCACTCTTGTCCTAGCTTCCGGTGTCGAAACACAGCAAAAACAATGTCTGATGCCGGAAGAAGCACATTAATCTACAGCCGTTTCACCCAAACGAGAGGTAATGAAAACGTCAAGAGTTGTTTTGCCGAGTAAAGTGTAGCTGAACTTGCGGCGTAAAATTCTGCCAAAAGACAAAGTACATCATATGGCGTCAAAGACGTCTAGAACACCCGACTGGAAGATTCCACTGCAGGTGGGATGTCTACTGAACCATGGAGCAAAACCACAGTTTAACTAGCCTGATCACTCAGCACACAAGGTTCACCGATTTGGTCCATTAGATTTCATTAAACATTACATCTACAACCACATAAACGACAGATGCATATGCGTTCCAGGAAAGTCTCCCGAATTTCTCTGCGAATGAGTATATTTCGCTAATTTCGTGCAATTTGGGTTCTAGCAGAACATAAGGTTAACGGAGAACTCGAAGATTGCGCCTACCTGATGAATCCTAAGAAGGGAGAAACTGGTCGTCGGTTGTCGAAGAATTTTCAGTGACCTTATGAGTAGTGTATCACGTGTATACATCTACAAGTCATTCAAAAGCCTAATGACCTACCCTGGCAACTTATCTTACCACCCGACTCCACCGTGCATTGACTCACTTTTTACTTGTTCACAAGAGGCCGCGATTGAAGTTGAGATTGAGGACAATGATGGGGGCGATGATGATCTGATTGTCGAGCCCAACGGAAAGCGGCCAGGCGAAGGTCATATTCATGGAATACTTATGAGTCAAGACCTATGAGCATTTCTGAAGTAAGCTTGTTTGTGACGTGCTCAATCATACATACCCGTGGTTTTGGCATTGGTACCTGTATGAATGCACTCTTATACTCTGTGTTCTATCGGAAATCTGAAATTTACAGAAGCTAGCGATTTGAATGAGCGTGATAAATCTTGGAGTGATCTACTGAACAAGTAATGACTCCAGCACCGTTTGCTGGATGGTCGCTGAAAGGGTTTTAAGTATTTAATCAGCAGGAAAGGGTTATTTTGGTTGACGGATATTGTTTTACACATTACTTCATTCGGATCCTGTTACTGAGTTGCAGCCCACTTCTGCCTCAATGCCGTACGTTCGTCTACGGCTTTTTAGCACCAGAATTGGCTGGCAGCAAATTTTGCGAAAAATAGGGATGGGTGGAGGAAATAGCAGAAAATGGTTTTTTCCACAAACAAAAAATCACGCATCTGTCCACTGACATTGAAACAGCCCGTCAACCAGAGCGACTAACGGCAGGCCAGAGTCCGTTTACAGATTGGCCTGTCACTACGTCAATGGATCCGCACGCCATATACGGTTTGAGCTGAATCGCACATGCGTACGGCTGAACGTCATGTACCTGGTGTCAGCATGGGAGAATCAAGTCGGAGGGTGAATAGGAGGGGGTAGTTCTAATGAGATCGGTACGTCCAACTGATATTTGTCAAGTCAAATGGGAGCAACTAAACCTCGGAAATTGACGATGTGGCCTGGTGGCTCACAGCACCCGAAAGACTCATTCAGGGCATACAACTATGCCTAGCTAGCTATTGTTAGCAAAAAATTAGTTTCGATGTTGCCACTGAAAGTCACTTCTAGCACTGTATTAGACTAACAGTTGTGAATATCCAGAGAGCTAGAACAGATCGTTTGCAGGTATACAGGTACAATACAGATAAAACGTAGTTCATAAAAAAATAAAGGTAATGTACGGAAACAAGGTGCAATAAAACCCGAGGTCCTAAATGGCGAACAACCTAAGGTTCCTGGAGGTTTAGGCGGTAATACTTCCCGGACGACACCGAGGGCTTGTCTACCACCTACAGGGCAAATAGTGAACGAATAGGATGACAGACTCACACGGTCTTTAGTTCACGTCAGATCTAAGAGGTAGTCCTGGTTCAAAGTGACTCTGACACACAATAAGATACGCATGTTGCAGTTCAACTTTAATGTATTCATTTGGTCTTAAAAACGCCTGATAGTGATTACTCAAGGTAACCGGTGACTCTGTTTTGATTTACAAACACGGATTGCAAGACTTCGAGAGTGCACAGCAGTTGATACTTTACATATAATTGACTCCGGCAAAGTGCACCCTTATAATCAACTGTCTGAGCCAAATAAAGTCGACTTGGGGTCCAACATTGTGGCTTTTTGATAATGCCCAGCTCAGTGTACCAATGGAAAAGTAGCCTGCTGACACAAACTTTGTGTTGGTCTGTGCACAATTCCTATTCAGCTTTCTGCCGTGGTGTGTGGTTGATACACTTGTTTTGGTCGAACAGCTCAGTTGGCAGTCTATGTGCTCAACCGGATTCCCGACCAACAACGCAGCCATGGACAATGGAATTGAAATCCCCGATGGCTTCGGAAATAAGCGAGTGCCTTTAGTCCCTTAAGCATCACCAAGCTGCTGGTCCTGTTAAAAGATGGGAGTGAAATCCTCATTCGGTGTTTGTCCAACTTATTTGCCTCTGTCTGGAAGAGAGAGACCATTCCAAACAAATGGAGTCAGTCGATGGTTCCAGTTTTCAAAAATGGTGCTTGAACTAGGTATGGCAATCACAGGGGAATCGGCTTGACAGCCCTGGTAACCAGACTCTTTGCGTCGCTTATTCTACTCCGTCTTAAGGCGCATGAAGATGGGACCAGAGAACAGAAACCATGGTTTCGGTAGGGGGAGCCGTGTGGACTACACCTTCGATCTCTCCGACAAACCCTAGAAACTTGGTGTTCCTTGATTTCAGGGGTGCGTTAGATTCTGTCGATCGGTTAGTGCGTTTCATCACTCTCGCGCAACAGGTTAGGTTCCAAAAGTTCGTGAGTATTATGTGTAGTTGGTATTCATATACTTGTGGGCGCGTGAGAGTGTATGTGAAGCTCTGTAGATGGATGCTCTCTCTCCCTCCCTATTTTTGTTTAATTTAGGCATTGATGAGGTAACGAGGGAAACACCGAAACGTCCCCAAAACTCCGAGGTTCAAATCTCTCCCATTAAGGACCTTGTCGATCTGAGATATGTCGACGACATTGTTTTCATTTTTGAAAAAAGCGGGAAGCGCAAGTAAACTAGAAAAAAGTCATCCAGTGCGTCAGCATGTGCTTCGCGCATACAAAGTGCTGATTGAATGCACAAGACGTACAGTGTTTAAACATGCCTCTAAGAACTCAAGGAGTGACAGTGTAAGGTGAGAAGTCGTATACGTATCTCGGAAATCGCATTCACTACGGCTGAAGTGAACGCCGCACTTCAAAGGGCAGAATCACTTTTGCCAAGTTGCTCCACCTGTTATCGCTACTTCTCGGAGGACGCATACATCAAACTACAGCGCCGCCGAGAGACTTGGTCACGTCGGGTGGAGGATCTGAGACATGAGCTGGAGATAGTTTAGTGGTTAAGGCGCAAGTCTACTGCCAAGGGATCAGGGTTCGAGCTTGGGAAACCTGGCATTATCCCAGCCCTCGTGCCTCCTTCGGGTGGTATGGCAGCCAGACACCGAAAAGGTGTTACAGCTGAACGAGTATTATTATTATTATTATTCCGAGACACCTTCAGGTCTTTGGCGATCGATGCCTCAGAGCCATAGCCAAAATTTTCTGGAACCAGCATATTCAGAATGAGGCGATTAGGAGATAGATTTTCGGTGCAGTAGAGAGTACTTCACTCAAAGAATGCATCCGGTTCTACAAGCTGATTTGGTTGGTCCATGTGCTATGAATGCCGATTTACCGCCTGTCGGGACGAGCGCTGTTTTCCGCGCCTGATTCCGAGTGGCCGAAACCGAGAGGTGGACAAAATTTGATGGGACAGAAGGGAATGAAGGATGTTACGAGAAGTCTAGGAGTGATATCCGTTTCCCAGGATGGGCTCTACGTGACCCTCTCTGTGCTCGGCAAGAGACACTGAACGATGAAGCGGCTAAGAGCTATTGACGAGACTCATGTTTCTATCTATCCAGACTAGTTGACTGACTATTGAACGTGTTCGTGTTGGGCGGGCCCCAGGTCTCCCTCTCTGCCCCATTTTTTCTTCTTTCCATTGCAAGGCTTTGTTCAAATAAATTGACATGGCTGTACGGCAGCGAAGCACCACTGTCAACACTGATATTGATGTCTTTGAGGATTTATCTATGTAATTATGCATGAGCATTCGAACAGATATTGAATAGTTGTCAGATGGAAAACCCCACAGGATCGAAAGTCGACCAGTGCGAACGGTGTATACTTACATCTGTCTCCATCCATGCGCGTAAGATGGACGGTCAGACATGAGAGCAACTTCAAAGCACCGACCATTGAGTAAAGAGCGCTTAAGTTCATTCGTGCTGTGCCAGTGAGATACATTCAGGACTAACTGTGTCAGCTGATGTGTCCATCTCCGATCAACACGGTAAGCCAGGGAATGAGTTAGACGGCGCGGCAGCTGTGTTGGCTTCCGGTCATTCATGCATGTTGCAGACCTCGTTTTAAAATTGCTAAAATGTTGAGTGCTGGACAACTGACTGAAAAGCTGATATCGAACAGCTGAGGCATCCAGTTCTGCACCGGTCTGACTGCCATATATATATATATATATATATATACTAAAGAGGTGAGCCCACCCAATCCGTTCTGTTTAAAATCCTTCCGCAATAGTCTGTCAAACAAATAGCTTCGAAGTCAGGAGGCTGACTAAAACCAGTACGACAAAGATAAAGCAACCTGTCACTTGGGGATAACGAATAAAGTCTGGTTCCGAAGGCTAGTCCGTAAGTGTGTAATCCCACTGAATTCGTTTGAACAAATCATATGGGAGGGAGCGTGATCATAGAGAATGCTAAGCAGTGTTCGAGGAAGGACCAAATAACACTGGATATACTTCACCACGGAAGCTGATGGCAAAAAATGTTTCATACATAATTATGGTAATATAGACCACATAAAATTAGAGAGTTGCCGCGTTTAGAGAGATTTTTCCCGCCCGAATAGACGGCCTGTTTAATTAGGAGCCAGCTCACTCCATTATTCGATGCATTGTTCAATTAGTCCGTCTTCACTGAGAGTGAAGCAAATCAGTTTTGTTTTCTATGTTTCTGGCCCAGGTGGTGTGCTAACGCGACCCCTTCGGCAACCGCACGGTTGTGCACGTGACTGCTCTTCCGTCGTCTTACAATACGACCGGATTTACTTGATTTACTTACCGAGTTGTTTTTCGACGAAATGAGCGCGAAAGGATCGACTGAAATGAATTTTTCGGTTATTAATCAGTTCAGGAATGAGTGAAATGGGCAGAAAAGTAGGTCTTATCCAAAAAGTGATAGGCAATGACGTTTTGGCAAAAAATCCCAAGCACAGAAAACCTTGGTGTTTGCCAATTTCAAGCGTGGAAGTCGAGCCCTATGTCTTCTGGTTGATACAACTTCGTTCAGTGTAGTTGCCAAACGGATTCTGAGAGCCGGCCGTATTGGCACACCCTGAAAATCTGATGTTGCATGCTTTCTATCCATTATGTCCGCGTATAACGTCATAGTTAGGGGAAACTTGAAAGAGAGCAGTTACAATTTATCCACAGGAACGGTAGCTATAAACGACACAGCAATAGGTAACGTCTTATGCGAATCTGTGAGCGTGTGTACGGTATTATATTTAAGTAGTAACCGACTTGAACCATATATGAGTGATGGATGAACAGAGTGACAGTACTTAGCGAAATACACTCATTTGCAAACTAATTTGGTTCTGCGAGAGACTCACCTGGAACCCAGCTGAATCTCTCGTTTGTAATGTTTCCAGGCAACTGAATGTGGTGCACCAGGCCGCCCCATGTTTCATTCACTACGATATTCGAGATATCGCGATACATGCATATTCGTAATGCTGAGGTTGCTGAATTTTCAGCAACTTTATGAGTAGTGCAGAGTGACAGTACGTTTTTATAAGACTTTTACGTATGGCGGAATAAAGGCCTGATTGGAATCTACCGAAAGAAGTTGCCAACCGGCAAATGATCTTAGAATGGGGACCTCGAGGACAGGTAGTATGCTTCAGGTGACCCCGGACCAACGACCTCCTGTTTACCAAGTGAGCTACCGAAGATACCCCCCCCCCAGGCCAAGTAAATTTGTGACAACGAGTAGAGTACCCGACTGATTAGCCGGTAGATAATCCACCCAGTATGCTGAACAAAAGACACAAAAGATGGTCTCAAGACGTCCAAACCAAGCATGTCTCGTACTTGGATCTTGCATCGCACTAGTTACCACATTCTCTTCTTTTTTCTACTCATCAATACCGGTTTCCATGACGTTGGATTTTGGAAGTAACATGCAAACTAGCCTTCATCACCTTTTCCGGATCTGTTGCAGATTTTATGCTTAAAAGTGCTAGTGAGATTATAGCATCAGAGTGACATTTGTGCAGTGAGTGCCCATCGTTAGTAAGGACACATATGGACCTTGATATGTGGTGATCGATCAAATTTCCACCGCAGTGGAGAGTGGTCATGCATGTAAATAGAATCCTGGGAGTGTAATATCATCATTGTGGGGGTTAGGTACTCCAACAGAGAGACGCTTTCTGAAAGAGCGATTGGAAGAACGTTGGATTGGTCAAACAAGAGAATAGAGAATTTCCACTGACACTACCAGTTGAACACCGGCAGGCTGTTCTACAAAGGCCTAATCGTGCAGTAACAGTGACCCAAAAAAACACGTGTCCATTAGATCGGTAAAGATGTCTGAATGACCTACATAGCAATTCAGACAACATCGTTAAACAGAACAATCGATCATATACTGTACCCATGTAGTGGTCAGAGGAAACTTGATCAATGCAATCGTGCTATCGAGTTAATTCACTACTTTGAGTCCGAACCTAACTCAGAGGCATCGCTGTTCCAATCTTCACGGTAAGCGGTTCCCAAAAATAGAGAATCTATGTCTTGAAAAATCAGCTAGGGTGCAGCACGCGGTCTATTGATTACAAGTGGATGGATGGGTTTGGGGTCGATAGCTGTGCTATTTCACCAAATTAGTAAATTACTCAAAAAACCGATGATACCTTCCAATGCAACAAAGTAGGGTTAAAGAACCAATTTCCTCCAGAAATATTACACATCCGCAGTTTCTGCAAAGAACACAGTCAGAGTGATAAGAAATACTTCACGGTCTAGGGTAAAAACTATGGGTGCTTACAGGCGAACGGATGGACCTGAACTCAATCGAGGATATGGGTAAAGGAATGTGTTCCCACCTAGCCTGTGTCTTATCGTGGACCCCATGAAACTAAACCTGGCATCAAGTATGCGGTGGTGGACTATTGTTGACTACATGCTTGATGATAACCATTCCTCGGAAGATGTATGGGTAGTCGATAATTGTGCGATGTAATATCAGAAACACACTGCTTGCTTTGTTTTCAGTCGGTCGTCCATCTAGGCAGACAACAACTCACGAAGGACCATAGTTTACAGTGTAGATCAACTGAAAGAGAATTTCAGTAGGACAAATAGGGCCTGATTGGTCACTAGAATGTGACTAGGAAGCTGGTGGCGAATCGGATACGTGCCAGAACGTCTTATCTGTGGCTGATGCATATGCTGACATGTGAGGGCACGTCACGATATGCTTGAACTAATGGACTGAGGTCACTCATTTTAGAACGAGGAGACATGTGAGACATGTGTGGAGACATGTGAGTGGTAGTATCTGTCATCGACGCAGCGCATGAAACACGACTTACCGAGGTGCGTGACCGTTAGGCTCACTGCCCAGCTGCGAGGATGCACCGGAACTGCTTGACTGATAGGTTGTACTGGTGATGATTGGAGGGACCACCAAGGGCCTAGTAACAGTGCCATTCATTGGGTAGCAGCCCGAAGGAACGGTGGCACGCAAAGCCACAGGATAAAGGGCATCTGGCGAAATGGAGGAATCGCTCGGGGAACGTTGAAACCCATGCAGCTGAGGAAGAACTGGGTATGAAGTGGAGAGCATTCGACGCCCGAGCGCACGACGCGCATCCGCTAGTCCGAACATATCGACCAGGTGCATTTCGAATTCACGCTCCAAAGCATCCTCCGATTCCCCCGGACGGCGACACAGTTGTGTAGATCCCGAGACCGAAGTTGCAGAGACTGCTGTTTGCCATCGATTAGTAATGATATTATTACGAGCAGCTCTGGCGTAGCATCGTTCTATCAAATCGCCGTGATGTTTCGTACGTGATGGGGCTTTGAATGGTGCAGCAATTGAGTAGTACAACTGTGAAATCTCACCCATAGGACGACCCGGTAACTAAATCAATTAAGCGTGAAAAAACGCAGCTGATAAGCAAGTGACAGATTCCATCGCTTTACACAAACAGCCCGATTGTTAAGGTTTCAAATATGGAACAAGACAATCAGAAATCAACCGTGGAGTAGAAGGCGACATGTGTACCCTAAAGGTTTATCGTCAGTCAGCTTACAAGTGGTCACAGAGTAGTTCACCCTTGGACGAGTTTCACATGGGGGTCAATAATTGCTCTTGGTAAAAAAACGGATACCATTAAAATTTCTTCCGCAAGGAACAGCAGGGTTTGCAAATCCAGTAGGTGATAGAGACGAGATCAGTTTTCTGGCTTGCCAGCAATTCGTTTTGTGGTAACTACATCAAAATTTAATCTGTGCTCCGTTGACTTGCCACCGTGAGCTCGAAAGCATGTAGCCTAGATGGATGGACATTCGGGAGTTTTTCGGATGACCTACGGTGCCGTGGGCTTCCTGGATGTGGAACTGATGCGGTGTGGATGAGACATCCAATTGGCTTCAGATATCAAACAAATATCAAACAGATATCAAACATTGAATCACAACCATGCATGAATTCCATGTGAATCCCATGATATGATGAGCTCAGTAGCTGCCTAAGAACAGAGTTTCAATATCTTATCTTGTGTTAACCAATGGAGTGGTGTCCAGCCGACCACAAACCCGTCTTGAGAGTGTGGGCTTGTTCCCTCGAACGTAATTCGGGCAACGTTCTGAATACTAACGTGTGCACAACTCCAAAATGATTCTGCCGCGAGCATTTGCGGAAACAGATCAAACGGTAGCCTTAGTAGGATGAAGCATCCAGGTACTGTAATTCGGATCAGGCAACCTGTGTATCATGACAGTTGCGACTGGCACCAATTTAGGACATACACACAGATGACACGGGAGTTTTCTACAGTCCGAATAGATCTTGATACCTAGATAACTGCAGTAGATAAAGCAAGGATGGATAAGTAAAGGCGAAGTGGACGACTTCCAGATACCCGTAAACAAGAATAGATTCCACTTTCGTAGAGAGATCGCCACGTGTGTAGATAGCTTGCCGTTCTTAGGAGTCATCCATAGCTCCGGTTGTTCTTAAGGGAAGAACTACCGTCCAAGGCTTGCCACTCCAAGCTTGTATATGGATGGCGGCCCGTCCTACCACAAGAACGATAACTACACACTGGAGGACAAATACTGGGAAACTTTGACCCCATTCTATTGTGTTCTGTATTAAATGTTTCTGGCATTAGATTTTCATCGCCAACTTGGTGAGGCGTGATTAACTTAGCTCGATTGATGACGAGACGTTGTTAGCCCAAAAGGCAGTTGGATCTTATTTTTCGACAGCAGATTGTGGTCAATAAAATCGCGCATTTCACAAGCTTTGAATCGCTATTCAAGTTCCCCAATCCTTAAAATTAGCTATCGAGTTGCAACAGTTCTACTTCGCCGATTAATTTTGCGCCAGTTAATGTGCGCGAATCGAATCTTCGAAAATGTTCAATATTCTCTTTTCTCTCTTAATTTTTCATCTAAAAATACTGTAGGATCGATGACCAGATGACGTTGACAGTCGGAAAACGTGTGTAAGATATGAGGATTCCAAAACCACGGCAAGCATAAGACTGTTAAAAAACACGACTAGGATGCTGTTGATAGCGAAAGGAAGGTAAAATACCGCGCTCGCAACACAGCTACTTCAATACGGTTTCTAAGTCAACGTAGCGGCGCTCCAGCGACGCCTTCAATCGTTAGGTCTACACAGGACTCATGCCATAAGCGCAGAATCAAATGGTTGCAACTGAAGCCACAGAGATTTCGATACACCTTTTACAACCGATGAGCAGACAAGCTGTGCACTGGACTAAACAAATCATTGGTTAGAACAAGTCGCACCTTCAAAATGGGATTGGTTAGCTGAACCAGTTCGGTCAGTAAGGAACCGTTAGCTCACGTCATGTGACTATCCTACTTGAGTAGGTACGCTCCGATACCGGACCCCGTCCTGCGTCGGCAACAATGTTTGTACTCCCATGTTCAGAATCATCTGTACTCTCACTTTAGTGCACAGCACCACGTCCTGTTAGATGGACCGGGATACATCCTATCCCATCCGAGGCCCAAGGCTAGCTAGTCAGTAACCTTGCCGCTAATGTTGGCCTATGTGAATCAACAACTCTAGCCCAAGGTTTAGCTTTTAATGCTACAGATTGACCAGAAGAGAGATTACTTAAACCCTATGTTCGTCAGTAACCAAACAAGATGCACGTGCGAGTGTCTGGTTCAACAGAAGAGTCCCATCCAAATAACTAGCTCCAGACATAGGATACTGGATGCCAAATGGCCGCTGCGAAAGTGAAGAGCGGTTGGTCGTCCCAATCGTACGCAGGGTAACGTAGTTTACAAAAATAATATGCCAAAAATCGATACCTCCACCAGTTTAAACAAAGCTCATAGAACTCGAAAACTGAAGCCGTCTTTCTCTTCTTTTTACTGGTTCTAAGCGCAACAGTAGTCTCACCATAAGGGGGTCACGTGACGGCTTAGCGAACCGATTATATTGTAACTATGCCGGTATAATCGCAAGCCACGTGGAAAGAATAAGGTGGGTAAGGATTAGCTTACACTGAAGGGACTTCAAAAACTGAAAAGTGAAACCAAGCTATCCATCATAATCGGTACCCAATACCAGTGCTGTGAAGAATAGATATCACAGGCAAGAAAAAGGAACGGTGTAAAAGGTCACAAGGCACCAAGACGAACAGTCGAACACAAGATGTTCGGATTATTGAAGAGCTTCGTTGTGATGCAGTACCATAGTGTCAGTGTGGCAGTTTCCAGGCGATACTACTGGCGCGGAACCAATGTTATGAGTTCAGATGATCGCGCGTGTCGTAATGGCGCACAATCCGTTTAGACCGATAGTATCCGATGATGTATTTGACTATATAGGTGAGGAACCTCTAGAAAAGAGACAGATACTACTTGAACAGGTGAGATCTCTGTAAAATTACGACGCATCTGAAAACCTGCTCCTTTGGTAGCCTTTCCTTAGTAGTTGATGGCTGAAATTAGCTTAGGTGAAAATTCTATGCCTAACATGGGTGACCTGATAAAATATGATTGACAAGATAGTAGAAAATGGCTAAAAACGCTGAAGTCCGTTTAGGTTTCAGTGAACGCGAAGTATCCGTAAGGAAATTTAACTATGTGGGAGCAGATATTCTTAATTTGCAAGATCCTCGTTGAGGATTGGTCATACTCTGCTTCTATGCGAACAGCATTTAGGATACTACCCCAAACACAACCGAGTTCAGCACAGTGCTGGAGTCACACTGTTGGCGAGAAAGGTCAACGATACCCCCAACTTATCGATTGTTCCTGTTTAGAGTTTGGTAGTCTGGCAACCTTGTAGTCCAAAGGTACAAGTATTATTTTAATCTACAATAAGAGAGGAGAGGGAGACATTTTACAGCGTTTGTTCAAAGTACATGGAGGAACGATGTGTTGAAGTGAGTGATACTCAACGGAAGAAATGGTCTCTTACATCTAGGCTCCAAGAGGTCAGTGGAATGCGAGCGAGTTCCACGAATTTGTCCAAAAGCCATCAGGTCCACAGTACATTGAAGTGGATGCACATGACTAGTCATGTTTTTTTTAATGGTAACGCACCACAGTAACAAACATCAATAGTATCACGTGATACCATAAGTTTACACACACACACAAGATAAGTTTGTAGGGTGGACAGAAAGTTCGTGGAATCAGACGGTGATACTGTGCTTTCTGTTCTCACCAGAATATCTCCCAGCTAGAGCGAAACAAACGCTTCGAGAATGCAGACCGGCGTACGCTGAATACAGCAGTTTGTATGATCAGATTCTGTGAAAAGATGGAACGAGTTTTTTATTTGAACAGGATCTGTTGCAGCTCTAATCCATTAGGTTGGTGAAGTTTGTATAAATCCGACTAGCACCAGAATGTTTCGATGTGACACAGAAACAGCCTGGAAAATTTAAGTGGTGAGCAAGACATTTACGTAACTAATAGGATTTTTTTAAAATCATCAAGAGCTGGAGATTTTTTGATGCGAATCACAGAGCACTGAAGACATATTTCAGTTGCGGATTCAAACAAACGATCAGCTAATACATCTACTTCCGAACTATTCCATCATCATCGTCATCATCCTCCAAACTAAAACAAGATGATCAAGGGGCATTACGCCACTGCACGTGATTCTAGACGGTGGACAGGAGAGTTGGACAGAATGAAACGTGATCATCAGCTGTTAAAACAGCCTTAGATAAGATGAAGTAGGATGTGAACGGCCTGAGTCAATATTATTGCGAAACATTCTTTTGGTGGATCACCTCAAGGCTGATTCAGTTGGCCTTTGAGTCAGTGATTCTTGAGGTTCTCAGGGTATGTGAGCATGCAATCGTAATCGCTCGGCCGTCGAACCCTTTCCTTGAGTAGCTGTCGTGCGACTCGAAGGAAGTCCGAGGGTCGAGATACTGTCAGGCTGTCCAACCATTGACAGGAGTAAACGAACAACCGGGGCTGGGTTTGACCACGAAACCTCCGTTCAGTAGTTTCGAGTTTTAACCGCTCGGCTATTCGAACTCTATGTGGATACACAACGAAATATCGGGCGGGGAAATTGCTGGAATTGCACGGGGTGAACAGCGCGATTCAACGAGGCAGTCCACATATTCATATTTCTAAAATTTGATCGACTAATCAATGTAGGTTAATAAAAGCGGTGCGGAAAAAGAGGCTGCTATTGCGCGAAATGCAGTATATCTAATCAAAACAAAATATATTGGAAAACACAGTAGCTATCCCGTCGGAAAGGGAAACCGGATATTTTTGTAATTAGTAGTTCATGAAAAAACTACTCACAAGGTTGCTGAGAACTCCTCGACGAATTTTCAGCAACCTTGTGAGTAGTCTGCTTTATGAAAATATACTACGATAACCCGAATGTCGCGCCAAATGAAACATGAAGCGACCTTTGTACAGCACATTCACCTGAGGAATAGCATAAACGAGAGATTCCGTTGAATCTTCCGTGAAAATCAAATTGATATGCAAATGAGTGCATTTGTGGAAAGTTGAGCTAACAGTCGTTTACAGACAGTATCGTCATTCCAGAAGGTTCACCTTTTAATGAAAATTGAAATTAACATGAGCACAATATTTTTCTGAGGAGGTTGTAATGACAGTTAATTGGTTTTCCGTGGCCTTGGCGTTGGAGTATACATATGCGATGAAGTCGATACTACTTAAGATGAATCCAATCGGCAAGTGATAAATAGGTTAGTATGGGATTAGTCCTAGCATGTCAGTTCCCCGTTTGTGTCAGAAAGTTACGCAGTATTCTCTCTACCTAAGATGTCTCCCTGTAACGACTCCTCTGACGAAAAACACACCTAGATATGGCAACAGCCAAGGCTAAGCTATCCTTTCCTCCCTTTTACGACCAACCTGTTGAGAGAGAGAATGGATACTGGAGCCGCGCAAGGATCAGGAGGTCGAATCATGCATGGATCTATGAAGTATTGTTTGACTGTCGGGAAAAATAGCTCGATGTCCACAAAGGAACACCAGGTAGATAAGTAAACTAAAATAAACTGACATAGGTTCCAGAAGTTGATGAGAAATCGATGACAAATGGGTGGTGAACAAAAAGGACTCAAGGCGAATGGGAGTTATCTACCCGGAGTTGACGACGGAAGAGTCCAAACCCACGGTAGATTTGAGAGTCAGATAAAATCTGATCTTATCACAGAAGCTGCGCTTGAAATGGATCAGAGACAAACTATCACCATACGATTCAGGACAGGCATGATCGTCATATGACTGGAATTGACAGCATATTCAGAGCATCGATTACTTTGGAAAAATACTGAGCTACAGAATGCATTTATGATCTTTGAAGAATCTGATACTGTTTCACTATCCAAGAGACCAAACTTAGTCTTCCTTTAGCACTTATCTCATTTATGACGTTGGACAGAAATGATTTTTGGTCCGGACGATGGAAAGTTGGTACGTATTATTATATTCCGTCACAAAACCAGTACGACTGATCGTGTGAGTTCAACGATTTTCCAGGCGCGTCAAGCTGGAGCAAGTGCTCCAAAACAAAACTGCAGTAACTGTCGAATAAGAATACACACAAAGACGAAATATATCATACAAAAGGTGTCATATTCTTGGTTTCGCTCAATCCCATGCAACAAAACTTCTTCTGGGTGATTTCTGGAGTGTGAACAGAAAGGCAGATGAGAAAGGTTACGATAGGCTACAACCCCAGGGGTTCATCTATCACAAGCAACCGCTTAATGAAGTTTGTGTAAGGTGGAGGTCGAACTAAATTAGAGAGCTACTTGAGGGACAATCAAGACGAACGAGTTTTGTGAAATTGAATGTCGATTTTGTGGAACTCGTGGAATTGGCATTTAAATTACTCTTGTTTGAACAGTACTCTCCATGTGGCGGTACAAGTATTGCGGTTGGTTCGGGGCAAAGAGAGGAAACACTGGTATCGAGTTACACCACCATTAAAGCCCATTAAAAGCGTGCATCCTTGGTCGCACAGATTGTTGAGCCCCAGAAATCCAACAAGCAAAATGAGGTTAGCCCGTCACCACCATTCTACCAGCGGAAGCGGGACGAACCTGAATTATCACGTTTGCTTTCTGTTTGTTGAACCGATAGCGGTGAGCCATTTAGAAAGCAAGTTTGTCGTCGAATTTCACTCAACCATGATGACCAACATCAGCACCGCGTCCGCCGGGGTTCGAATCAGGAAGCGATGGAAAACAGCAAACTTAAACCACCGTGTCACCAAGTCAACGGGGCTGGATACGTGTAGGAAAATGGGGAAAGATTCAATTTACGGCTTCAGATATTAAGTCCTGCGACGACGTGTTTGTACAACGCATTCAAAAGTTCGTCCATATATCTGCGTTGACGACCCTAGCAGCTGTTTCATCCTTGTCAGAAGTGCATATCTCTGGGGGAATTCGAACAAGCGATTGATCGGTTGGTGCTGGTGAAGAATGATGGCACAAAACTGCAGGTAAGAAACGCACCTTTGATGCTGTTAAAACGCAAAATAGTTCTGGATATGCCGCTTAGAAATCCTTAAATGGTGGTTCGATTGCACAGCCATTATAACCGTGAAGAAGCCAAAAGAGCAGAAGCTACACTCAATCAACGAGCCTGTCATTAATCAGATCAGGTGACACACTGTTGCTACTGGATCTGGTTTAAGTAAAAGTCAAGCATATTACCGATCAGTCATGCGTAGGCGAATGCCAGTGTCCATACTCCAATCCGGAGGACCTCGGGTTCCCAACAAATATGAATTAACCTTTCTCGATCATTTAGCTTAGACTGGCTGCGGAAACAATCCTGAATCGAAACTTAAAAATTTCCACACTACCAACAAAACACTCGCAATTTTCTCAGAAAGAAAAACCTCCCGCAAAACGCAGGGGAATTCGTCCGGGGTATCTATCAACAACAGATCAGGCGACCAAAGGGGAGAGTGCTCCCATAGCTCATCTGAGCCACCCGTGGTGGGAACGTACGATTCTTCGTTTTCATCAGGAAGTTGTAGGTCGGAACGTTCTTTTGGAGTCACAACCTGTTCCTTGCTTCCTGGCTCTTACGTACATGGTAACCTTCGCCTAAAAGAATTAAAACTGATTAAATGAGTTGCTGAGTTCGATCTGCAAGCAAAAGAACACGTGCATCTACTACGTTGGGAGCTGCTTCCGGATTGGGAATTGTCTCAAAGAAACTGGAGCACAAGGAAATAAGGAAGACAGCTGCGGAAGTAACCAGTTTCAAGGAAAATTACTGAATGAAATGAAGTGAACTTCATCAGATGCAAAATAAAAACAATGTGACGCCCTCAACCCGCCGAAAACCACCCAGCGAAATATATTCAATTTATGGATTGCTTCTGAAGGAGGGGCAGTGTGCCAACCTTCGCACATGACTCCTGTATAGTACCATAAAAACTGTGATGTGTTGGGTCAATCACAAAAGCACAGGGTTTGTTCAATACCTTTGCTCTTGTGAGTGTTACTTCAAAGCTGACTGAGACCAATTGTATTAATTGCATGTCGCGTGGTAATAAATGCTTGCATCGCACCTGAGTTCAAAAGACGGTTATGAGAACAGCAATTAGCCGAAAGTCAGCTGTCATGTCCGTTCACTGGAACAGGACGGTTGAAAGCCAGGGTAAAAACCAGGGGGTGTCTGCATATATATATATATATATATATATATATTCAGTGTACTTCACAAGATCGATTTTATTAGATTGAATGGAAAGTATGAATTTGTGCATAGCTGTGGGCAAGGGGCTAAACGGGGTAAACAACGGATGATTGCCAGTGAATAAACAAACAAACAGATGAGGTAAAGGGATGAGCACGATGTGTTTTAAGTGAATTTACTTTTTGGTAAAAAGTGGTGGAGCGTGGATCGATTTGGAACAGATGGAACACTTAAAAGAAATCGGAAAACGGAGCACTACAACATTCATAACATCACTCAATGGACGGATAATAGTGGTCCTTCTTTACAAGCATCGCAAAGCGAGGAACGGTTTCTTGTATTATCAAGTCAAGGTAATCAAAAGCTCGACCAAGTTTTGTGCACAAAACTTTACTTATGTGAGCTGACCGAACATTGTGCGAGCCAGGCTGAGCATCAGTTGCCTTACAGTTCAAAATGCTAGAACTAAATTGTGGGTGACTGTGCGTTTAGTCATGAGTTTTATTGGCTATAGAAGTCGCAGTATAGCATAAAATCGCCGTCTGCCTGTCTTGGTTTCCCCTGTCAAAGCGGCTATACTAACCCACAAAGGAGGTGTGCCAAGGAGTGACGAATTCCCTCTAAGGTTTACGATAGCCTTCACCGTTAGCCCTTAAATTTCCTCTATAAGGGACCATACCACACTCCTGGGTGATATTTTCATCTTTTCTACGAAGATATGATAATACATATACTGGGGCGAGATGGACTAAGTGGTTAGAGCGCGAATTTACTGACCATAAGATCCGTGGTTCGAACCTGACCTCTACCTTTTGACTTCCTCTGTCTAGGCTTGGGCAACCTGGCAGTTTCCCAACTCTCGCCGAACCTTCGCGTGGCATGGCAGCTAGGCACCGAAAGGGTACTACGGCTGAACGATTTTATTATACTTTTTTATACATATACCATGTGCTGTACACATACTAGGAAATAGATAAGTTTAAAAGGTGATCCACGAAAATAATGCTCTGGAGTGCATGAGTTTCAAGGAAGGTTCTCAAGGGATGCGATTGCAGCCTTTCGCATGGTGGGTGACTGTACAATACTCTGTTAAGATACGCCTCACCGCTTCTTTTCCGTTTTCTCTACTTTTCTCGTGAGAAAGACGGCATTAACAGTCATGAATGGTCATCCATAAAGATAGAACTCAATACCTGACACTAACTAACGAGTTGGACTTCCTTGATTGGCTGAAGGACGCCAAACCTAACCAATTGAAAGCTGTCTCTCATTATCCGTTTCCTTCGTGGCCCGATGTAACTCTGAAAGCTGCACTGAAAGCGAATAGTCAGAACAACCTTGCAGCGTTAGTGGATGTGGAAAAACCCCTAAGACAGTTTGAATTCGTGCAGCAAGATCAACAAAAAACGCGTTGACCCATATTTCAAGAAAGACCCACATTAAGCGGTTTTCATCAGTGAAATTGTCTTCTCCTGAGTGACCACTCATCCGTCTTTGAACGGCTGGGACGGGAGAATTTTTCGGTTGTGTCCAAAAACCGTTTACCGTGATATCCATCTCGCGTTGCTTATAGAAAAAACTGCTTGTGTTGATGCGGACAAATTTGTGTTGGTTAAGCTGTGATTTTGAAGCGCCCCATTGGTTGAAGGGATCACTCCTAACAATGAACTCGCGCGACCAGCGAGTTAGCGAGATCAACTTTATGTTAGATGGAGTTCAATAAAGAGCGAAAGGGTCCAGAGTACGTTGATTATACACTTCATCCAGCTGGAACCGTGACGCATCTGCTTTGGAAGGATGGACAGCACACCCAAGTTACGAAATATCCAGCCATATTCAGAACCGGTGAATTTTCTCATCAAGATGGACAGCTTGTCCAGCTTCCTGTTTCGTACAGATGACTTCATCAGCAAAGCAATCAGATGGGCACACAGAACTCTTTAGTACCAACCGGAAAAGTTTTTAAATTTTGCCCTAATAATAATAATTTAACTGTAGCACCCTTTCGGTGCCTAGCCGTCATGCCACCCGAAGAAAGCACGAAGGCTGAGATACCGTCAGGCTGCCCAAGCCAAGGCAGGAGCAGTCGAGATGCTGAGGTTGGCTCCGAACCCTCCGGTCAGTGAGTACGTGCCAGAACTCCTGAGCTATTTCGAGCTCACAGCAATTGTGGGTGGTACATATTGGCTGTCATGCCGTAGAATCCAGTCCAGAGGAAATTCACATGGAAGAGGACTGTTTCCTTCGAGTCTATGGTTTTCTACTTAATCAAAATAAACCTCGTGGAAAAACGCCTCCTTTGGACTGATTTAGTCCCCGAACCGTTCAACATAACTAATATAGCCTAGCCTAAGTGGACCATGAGAACCGTATTGATCAACCGTCCAGACATGACAAATCTAAGGCCTGTGGCCAATTTCACTCAGTACTGGGCGAAATGAAGAAAACACCCATAGTCGACTTGATTCTACTTGATCGGACCATCCCAGGAACGACCAGCAATAGGTTTCACTCAGCGTTGGGCTGTGGCATTGACAACACCCTGAACTCGGCTGATTTCGCGTCGTTCAGATGCCAGCCCAGAATGAACAAATTCAGATTCAAGCTTGCTCTGCTTTGTTCAAAAGTCCGCCCAGAACTTTCGCGTCAGTAGCGTAACTGACCCTGAGCATTATTCAGCAGATAAATGGAATAGCAAATAATGACCTACAAATCCACCAAGTTGGCCCACAAAGGGTGGTTGTATGTGTGAAGAAATCGAAAGAAAACACTAAATAGACCGATCTGGCGAGAAATTAGCCACTACCACAGCAGTTAACGCCATTCGCATTGGTGAGGCAAGTAAAACTGGTCGATACGGATTTGACGTGACTGAGTAATGCATCTACGGCAATAACTGAGATACACAGGTACGGGTAGTGGAATGATCAGGAAATAGCGAGCCAACGAACTCTAAATGGTTTGTTGGTTTAGATCTAACCACAAACTGTTCCCGTAAACGACCACTGAGACAAGACACAACAAACTTTATGGGGTTTTTCAATGGGGAACCACTCAGTGTCGGTCAAACTTTGGTCTAATAAAGGTATTTTGTGAAGCACCTATCATCAAGTCATCCAGTGCACTCTGACCGTCCTCCTCTGTTATGTCTGTCACCAAACGACCGCTGAATCACATCATGGTGGCACATCAGTAGTGGCCAATTCCACTGAGAACGGTGAACTAGAACGGTGCTGCGCCGTAGACGTCTGGTCAGTTTATACGGTTATGGGATTGTTTATTGCTTACTCAAATCATATGGAAGTTTAAAGCTTTTGAAGTTTGAGCAGCACACACAAAATTCTAGAGTAGTGTGGGTCAATTTGTCAAAAAGGTTGGATTCGGAGGCCTTGGTAGAAAAGAAGACAGGAGCTAGTGTGAAAGACCCTAAGAGACTCTTCTTTAGTTGACTGCACAAATAACCTTATCCGGTGAATGCACCAAACCTGGTGAGTGCTGAACGAACTTCATTACTTTGTATGTTCCACCTATAGGTATACCAGACGGGCAGCCAAGGGAGCGATTGACTGCGCATAGTTCCCGCTGACCAAACACTACCACTTTTCCAAAAATTTTGGTTTCGGGCTTCACATGTGTGGAATGTTTTAGGTGTTGTACCGATGAACAATTCACTGCATTTCGGAAGTAATAAACAATGGTTCAGCTGTGGAAACCTTACGGTTCATGGAAGTCATGTATGAGATTCCACCTACAGGTAAACTAGACGGACAGCCAAGGGAGCGATTGGCT